GGGCAGCAGGGAATGCTCATCTCCCCCTGCCAAGGCAGGTTTACAGAAACTGGGTTAACTCTTTACAGAAAACTGAACACTGAATTTATTTAAAAAAAAAAAAAATCATAAAAACAGAAAATCAAGAAAAGACACACAAAAAACCTTACATGTATATGGGTCTTGAAATGAGTGGAGTTGCAGCCTTTTGCTTGTTGCTTTATTTTTTATTTTTTTGGTAGGAGAGATTTGAGATAGTACTCTATTCTAATCAAAAATAAAGTTTTGTAGTGGGGGGAAAAATTACTAGAATGAATTGAGATATTTAGCATAGTGGTGGGATACAAGATCAAATATAAAAATCAGTTGGATTCCTCTACACCAACAAAGAGATTGTGGAAAAGGAAATCAATACCATTTACAATAGCTACCAAAAAAAAAAAAATAAAATACTTGGGAATAAATCTCACTAAGGCATTTGACTGCTAACCAGAAAGCTGGCAGTTCAAGCCCACCAGCCACTCGAAATATTGCCTTGGAAAGCCAAGGAGGGGTTGCTATGAGTCAGGATCAACTCCATGGCAGTGAGTTTTTGTTTCAGGACACAAAAGACTTGTACAAAGAAAACTACAAAGCACTACCTCAAGAAACCATAAGAAATCTACATAAATGGAAGAATATCCCATGCTCGTGGATAGGAAGATTGAACACTGTGAAAATGTCAGTACTACCCAAAGCAATCTATACAACATTCAGTGCAATCCCAATCCAGATCCCATCAACATTCTTTAAGGATATGGAAAAATCCATCACAATTTTATATGGAGGAGCTCTGATAGCATAGTGCCTAAGGCACTTTACTGCTAACCAGAAGGCTGGCGGTTCAAACCCACCAGCCACTCCTCGGAAGGAAGATGGGGCAATCTACTTCCATAGTGATACCGCCTCGGAAACCCAAGGAGGGGTCGCTATGAGTCGGGTCCGACTCGATGGCACATAACAACAACAACAAATTTTATATGGAAAGGAAAGAGACCTCAGATAAGCAAAGCACTATTAAAGAAAGAGAAAAAAGTAGTAGGTCTCACACTCCCAGATCTCAAAACCTACTATACAGCCACAGTAGTCAAAACAGCCTGGTATTGATGAGGTACGAGATCTGTACCTCACACCATACACAAAAACTAACTCCAGATGGATCAAAGACTTAAATCTGAAACCTAAAACTATAAAATTCAAGGAAAAACTAAGGGCCAGTTTGTTGCCATCATTATGTGCCATTGAGTTGGACCCGACTCACAGCGACCCCTCCTTGGGTTTCCGAGGCAGTATCACTACGGAAGTAGATTGCCCATCTTACTTCCCAGGACTGGCTGGTGGGTTTGCCTTAGGCACTATGCTACCAGAGCGCCCAGGGACAAATTTAGGGGCCCTAATATATGGCATAAATAGACTGTCAAGCATAACCCAAAATGCACAAACAGCAGAAGAGAATATACATGATGGTACCTTTTAAAAATTAAATTTTTATGTGCTTGCAAAGACTTCTCCAAAAGAGTCAAAAGAGAACCTACATATTAGGAAAAAATGTTGAGCAATGACATTTCTGACAAGGGACTTAATCTCTGAAATTTACAGAAAACTCCAACACTTCAACAACAGAAAGACAAAAATCCAATTCAAAAATGGGCAGAAGACATGAATAGACACTTCACCAAAGAGGACATTCAGGTGGCCAGCAAACACATGAAGAAATGTTTATGATCATTAGCCATTAGAGGGATGCAAATCAAAACAACAATGAGATACCATCTTGCCCCAGCACTAATAGCAAAGTTTAACAAGATAGAAAATAACAAATGCTGGTGAGGATGTGGAGAGATTGGGACTCTCATACACTGCTGGTGGGACTGTAAAATGATACAGCCACTGTGAAAAGCAGTAAGGCGATTCCTTAAAAAGTTAGAATTAGAAATACCATTTGATCCAGCAATCCCATTACTAGCTATATATCCTATATAAGTGAGAGCCTGGACAAGCATGGATATATGCACACCCATGTTCATTGCAGCACTATTTACAATAGCAAAAAGATGGAAACAACCTAGGTGCCCATCAACTGAAGACTGGATAAGCAAACTATGGTACATACACACAACGGAATACTATACAACACTAAATACTGTAGAATCTGCAAAACACCGCATTGTGTGGATGAACTTGGAGGACATAATGCTGAGTGAAATAAGTTAATCACAGAAGGGCAAATATTGTATTACTTCATTACTGTAAAAAGTCAAGGAAATGTTTATATATGGAAGGGGACTTTCTTTGTTGGTTTACTAGGGGTGTGAGGGGAGAGGAAGGAACACTGCAAAAATAAATAATTTTAAAAAGAGACATTATTGAGAGACATTAATGAAGTCCTAAATAAATGACTATACTATGTTCATGGATGAAGATTCTGTAAAGATATCAGTTCTCTCCAGCTTGATGAATATATTCAGTGCAATCCCAAATAAAATCTCAGTAGGTTGTGTGTGTGTGTACTAATATCAGATTTTAAATTTTTAAATAAAATGCCAAAAGTCAAGAATGGCTAAAAGAATCTTGAAGAAAAAGCATTGGAGGACTTACACTACAAGATACTAAGACTTTCTACACAAAGTTACAATAATTAAGACAATTTGGAATTAGTAAAAGGTAAAACAAATAGATCAGTGGAACCATAATAGGGTCTGGCATCAAACCCAGATGTATATGGCTACATCATTTATGACAAAATGATACTGCAGTATTTTCAGTAAATACAGAGTCAGTTGGATAGCCATATAGAAAAAAAAATTAATCTTTACCTCTACCTCCCATCATAAGAAAAAATTCCAAGGGGCTTATAGATCTTAATATAAAGGTAAAACAATTTTTTGTCTGTAAGATAATATAGTAGAATATCTTCACGACCTGGAGACAGGCAAAGATTCTCTAAATAGAACATAATCACTAACTATAAAGGAATAGATAGATACATTTGAATATGTTAAAATCAGAACTTTTGTTCTTCAGATTCACTATTAATAGAGTGAAAAAGCAAGCCACAGACCAGAGGAAGGTATTAGCAATACATATAACAAAAGGCTTATCTATATTATATACAGAATTTATAAAATTCTGTAAGAAAAAAATAGCTCAGTAGAAAAGTGAACAAAAGACCTGAACAGGTATTTCAAAAGATACTCAAATGGCCAATAAGTAAAAAGATACTCACCTTGATAATGCAAATTAAAACCATAGAGGGATACTACTACTGTACATCCAATGGACTGTCTAAAAAGGATGTGGAACTCTCAGATATTCCTTGTGGGAATTTAAATTGATACAACTACTTTGGAAAAGTATAAGTGTTTACTAAAGCTGATCACGTTTATACCCTAAAAAACCCAAACCTACTGCCATCAAGTTGATTCCGACTCATAACAACCCTATAGGTCAGAGTAGAACTGCCTCATAGTGTTTCCAGGACTGTAAATCTTTAAGGAAGCAGTCAGTCTCATCTTTCTCCCATGGAGCGGCTGGTGGGTTCAAACGAACAACCTTTTTGTTAGCAGCCAAATGCCTTATCCAGTGTGCCACCAGAGCTCCTTATTTACACCCAAGAGCCCAGCAATTGTAAATCCTACATATATAGCCAACAGAAATGTCTATATATGGGTGCCAAAAGATGTAAAAGAATGTTTGTAACAGCACTATTCATAATAGGTAAAAATGGAAAACACAGTATCCATCAATAGGAGAATAAACACATTGTGGTACATTTATTCAGTGGAATACTACACAGCATTGTAAATGACCTACTATAACATGCAAAAAAGAAGTTAAATCTCATAATGATTACAGGAAACTGGACATAAAAGTACATACAGTACAATTCCATTGTTATAAAAATTTGAAAGGTAAAACTCATCTATGATGTCAGAAGTCAGGATAGTGATTACTTTTGAGGAGGGGGTGGGTATTGACTAGTTAGAGGAATGAGGGGCCTTTTGGAGTGCTGAAGCTCTATAAAGAGCTTTGGTGGCAATGGTGGATAAGGCATTTGGCTGCTAACCAGAAGGTGAGCAGTTCAAACTCATCAGCTGCTCCATGGAAGGAAGATGGGGCAGTCTACTTCCATAAAAACCCAAAAACCCATTGGGGGTTGCTGTGAGTCAGAATTGACTCAATGGCAGTCAGTTTGGTGTTTTGGTTTCATGTTCTGTATGTATGGCAGTTGCACCATTGTGTTCATATAGTGATGATTCATGGATCTCTGTACTCAGTGTATTTTTCTATATAAAGGCTCGTAGTAGGCAACCTTTGAGATGGCCTCCAATTCCATCCTCCTGGTATTCATGCCTTTGTGTAATCCCCTCCACTTGAATATGAGCTGGACTTAGTGACACAGTGAATACAATATGGCAGAAGTGATAGGATATCATATCCAAGATTAGGTTATAAAGACTATGGCTTCCATTTTGGGTGTCCTCATCCTCCATAAGCAGCCACCATGTCTTGAAGTAGTCTTCTGGAGAGAGCCACATGGTGAACCAAGCCCTGTCATCAGCCAAGTCCATTCAGAAGCAGATCTCCTCTTCACTCCCCATCAAGCCTTTAGATGAAACTGTAGCCCCAGCCAACAGCCTGTTACTCATGAGAGACACTGAGCCAGAGGCACCCAGTTAAGCCACACCTGGATTCCTGACCCACAGAAAACTGTAAGACAATAAATATTTATAGGTTTAAGTTGCCAAGTTTTAGTCCAATTTTTACACATCAATAGATAATAGTGTTTATTCTTTAAAAGTTTGCTTATATGCAACTTCTTGTCAAGATACTTCAAAAAGTAGAAATCTCTATTCAGTTGGTAAAACTAAAGCATATTTAAAGTGGCTTTTGACATAAGGCCACTTGCAAAACCGTATCTCAATACTGGGTTTTCAGTAAGTTCAGGATGTGAATTACCATTACTTGTTTTTGTTTTTCAGATTTATCACTTTGGGTTTGTCTCTGGGGATTGATAGATTTTTTTTCGGTCAAGTAAGTAAAAATATATTAAGCTAAACAGCTATTTTTAATCTAACATTTATTGCACTAAAGCCTAAACCTGGATTTTCAAGTGCCTAAGGCATTTGACTGCTAACCAGAAGGCTGACGGTTCAAACCCACCAGCCACTCCTCCGAAGGAAGGTTGGGCAATCTACTTCTGTAAGTACTGCCTCGGAAACCTAGGGAGGGGTTGCTATGAGTTGGATCTGATGTGACAGCAGTGAGTTTGGCTTTTTTGTTTTAATATTTGGAAAGTGACACATCATTTTTATGAAATGATGATACAATTTAAAAAAAAAACTTCTAAAGTACGTCTTTGTCTCAATTTGCTATATTTTCTACATATCAGACTTGCACATTTGTTTCATGTTCAAAGTCTGTTTTAAAGAAAGTAAGCTGTATTTTTGTCAGATTTGTAATAAAGGTTTAATTTTTAAATAATTTTTTTTTTTTTTACCTTTAATCATCCAGAAAGCAAGTTAGCCAGAATACTTAAGTCATTTGGTTTGAGATTTTAATCTCATGACCTTAAGTAACAGCCTTTGCTTGTTTTACAATCCCCTTCTTTTTCCCCCTTAAAAGTCACTTATGGCTTCTGGAAACAGAATGCCATGGTTTGAAGCCTAGTGCCCTCATTATTAGTTACCTACATTACGTGCCATGGTATCCTTACCTGGAAATAACAGTGATACCTGCCTCATGAGGGTGATGGATGATTAAAGGAGATAACCAAAACCAAACTCACTGCCGTCGAGTCGGATCCAACTCATAGCAACCCCTCCTTGGGTTTCCAAGGTGGTATCATTATGGAAGTAGATTGCCCAGTCTTCCTTCTGAGGAGTGGCTGGTGGGTTTGAATCATCAGCCTTCTGGTTAGCAGTCAAATGTCTTAGGCAGTATGCCACCAGATCCATGTAAAAGGCTTAGAACAGTGTCTGGCACAAGTGAGCACTTAATGTTAGCTCTTATTGTTGCTGTGGTTGTTATCTGCTTTGTGCTATAATTCAAATTGTAATGTTTCTAGAACTTCATCTTAATAGGTATATGTATGGTATCAAGGTGCTAGAGTAAGAATTTTGATATGGGTGACACACGTAAAAATTGTTTTTAAGGATCCTCTTTATCTCTAATTAGATATAAAACTTACATTGCAAAAATAAGTATGAATGTTTATTTTCTGAATTTCAGAACCTAAGGAGCTCTGGTAGCATAGTGCCTAAGGCACTTGACTGCTAACCAGAAGGCTGGTGGTTCAAACCCACCAGCCTCTCCTCAGAAGGAAGGTTGGGCAATCTACTTCCGTAGAGATACTGCCTCGGAAACCCAAGGAGGGGTTGCTATGAGTCAGGTCTGACTCGATGGCACGTAACAACAAAAAACAAATTTTATTAACAAAGCACGTATCAGTACTTAAGGCAAAAAAATGAGAGTTAAGAATGTAAATTACTGACTTTTAGATTTTGTTCTTGAGTTAATGTCAAGATTCTGTCAAATTCCAAAATGCCAAAGATTTATACTTGGCACTAACACATTTCTATTTCTTTTTCCTTCAATTCTGCCAGTGGACTTTGGTTCAGTTTAACTTTTTGAAATTTAATGTGCTGCAAAATCTGGGAACATTTTATGGTTCTCATCCATGGCACTGGTACTTCAGTCAAGGATTTCCTGTTGTCTTGGGTACTCACTTACCCTTCTTTATTCATGGCTGCTTTCTAGCCCCAAAGAGGTACCGGATACTTTTGGTGACGGTGCTGTGGACAGTGTTTGTTTACAGGTAAGATTTTATGTGTTCAAATAGTTAATGTTTCAAAAACTAGACATTTATTAACTTGATTCTTCAAAAAATAAAATTTATCTCTTGGAGATGTATTAACTCTTACTATTTGTTAGTGGAGATATTTAGCAAACAAAATTGTTAATTGTGGTGGAGCTCAGAGTGAGTATTTCAGACGTGTATACTTTGTTTGCCAAAGATTACACTCAATTTTTAAGAAACTGAACAGATTTTGCTTTTAAAAAATGAACTATCAAAATTTTAACTACTGAAGGACTAAACCTGTTGTTGATTCCAGCTCATGGCGACTTTACAGAACAGAGTAAAACTGCCTGCTAGGGTTTCCAAGGCTGTAAATTTTTAAAGAATCAAATTGCCAAATCTTTTTCTCGCAAAGCGGCTAATGGGTTTGAACTGCCAACCTTTTGGTTAATAGTCAAGCATTAACCACTGCACCACCAGTGCTCCTAAACTGAAGGACTAGAGAAATGCTATTTCAAACTAAAAATATATGTATTTTTATTCCATATTTGAGTTATATTACATACTTGCATTGGTAATAGAAATTCTTTTAAGAATGTAACCGTTCTTTAGATTTCACATTGATATGAAATTGTTAGTTTTAATACATCACCACCTTGTAACTAAAAAATGATATTGATTCCTGAGCAAGAAGTCCATTTCAAGTACATAGAAGATAAACAGCTCATGTTAATATTTTATTTCAAACACATTAATTTCTCAATCATGTAATATGGATTCTCAAAACTCCAAAATTCACTGCTGTTGGAGCTGACTCATAGTGACCCCTCCTTGGGTTTCCAAGGCAGTTATCACTCAGAAGTAGATTGCCCAACCTTCCTTCTGAGGAGTGGCTGGTGAGTTTGAACTGCCAGCCTTCTGGTTAGCAGTCAGATGCCTCAGGCACTATGCTGCCAGAGCTCCCAATGTAATACAAGAAGATACAGTTTTTTTAAAGGAAGGTTAAATACATGTATTTGTGTGGGTGTGTAGCTCTGGTAGAGTAACGCCTAAGGCACTTGACTGCTAACCAGAAGGTTGACGGTTCAAACTCAACAGCCGCTCCTCAGAAGAAAAGTTGGGCAATCTACTTCCGTAGTGATACCGCCTCGGAAACCCAAGGAGGCATCGCTATGAGTCGGGTCCAACTCAACGGCACATAACAACAATTCTATATATATGAGGAGCTCTGGTGGTGTAGTGGTTAAGGCATTTGGCTGCTAACCAAAAGGCTGGCAGTTCAAACCCACTGGCTCCTCAGTGGGAGAAAGATGAGGCAGTACAGCCTTGGAAACCCTATGTGCAGTTCTACTCTTTTCTCTAGGGGTGCTGTCAGAATTGACTCTGTGACAGTGGGTTTAGTTTGCGCTTTACTTCCAGAAAGATTTACAGCCTTGAAAACCCTGTGGTTTTTCACAGTTCTACTATGACCCACCAGCCACTCCTAGGAAGGAAGATTGGGCAATCTACTTCCGTAGTGATACTGCCTCGGAAACCCAAGGAGGGGTCGCTATGAGTTGGGGCCGACTTGACAGCACTTAACAACAACTATGTCCTATATAGTCACTAAGCATTGGAATTGATTCAATGAGTGTTGTTTGCTTGAGTCTTTGCTCCAGATGAGAAGACACAAATAGTTGCATCTTAGATTGCTGCTTGCAAGCTTTTAAGACTCCTGTCATTCACTACTCACCAAAGTAGGATGTAGAACATTGTCTTTGTGGACGTGTTACGCCAGTTGACCTACATGTCCCCTGACATTGTGGTCCGAAGCCACCAAGCTCAGTCACTCATTCCCTCAAGGTGGATGGTTACGGCTAAAAAATTTTTCATAAATTTGCCCCCTATATAGTCTTCTATATCCTTGGATATATTTGTAGTACATGCAGTTACATATGTAGAAATGTTGTTGTTGTTGTTGTTGTTATTTGCCGTTGAGTCGGCCCCGACTCAGAGCGACCCCTCCTTGGGTTTCCGAGGCAGTATCACTACGGAAGTAGGATTGTCCAACCTTCCTTCCGAGGAGTGGCTGGTGGGTTTGAACCGCCAGCCTTCTGGTTAGCAGTCAAGTGCCTTAGACACTATGCTACCAGAGCTCCTTATATCCTCTGCCAAATCTGTATATATGCATGGTTGTACTCCTATTCACCTCCCCACATCTATTCAGCTTGCATATCTACTTTTATATCTGCATAGAGTTTGTTAATACATTTATTGTAGGATTGTGTACATAACACTATTTTTTTTAATTATCTTTTTTTTTTGTTATAGCCTCTTGAGCCACAAAGAATTCAGGTTTATCTATCCAGTTTTACCATTTTGTATGGTGTTCTGTGGTGAGTATTTTTGTTTAATATAGAAAAAAATACTTAAATAGAAATAGCTGAAAGACAAAATATGACCAGTAACTCTAAAATACTACTTATTTTCAACTAAGTTAAATGCAAATTACTTATTTCAAATTATTTTACTATAATATCCCCTTTTAAAAAATCTGAATATCCTTTTTCTATGTTCTTTAAAGTGAGAAAAAACAATTTGGAAATAATGGAAAAACAATTTTCAAAACATTTTTGTGGTTTTGTTTTTGGCTGTAAGAAACCTTTTCCTAAAAAATAAGTATGTCTATTTCAGAATAGCCATTTTTAAATTTATAGTTGAACTGTGAGAGTGTTCATTTTCACAAAGGAAAATTATAGCTTCCGAAACTAGTTTTTATTAATACTTCTACACATACAAAACATTTACCCAAGACTCATTTTAATCATACTTGTTTTTTTAAGTTGCAGTTTGCGTAGAATTTTACAAAGCAGATTTGTTTTACATCCAACAGTTCATACACATTTTGTGACCGTGATCACAATCCCCACAATTAACAGTTTTCCTCTCACCTCCTCACTATGGTTACCCCTTCCTTTTGTCCTTCTTACTATGCATTCCTGCCTGCCTAGTTTTCTCCTCTACAAATCCTGCCCCTCTGATCTCTTGTGTTTGACTGTTCTAAGGAGTGCATCTCCCTGGAATAGTTGTTCAGTTCGTAGGCCTGTCTATTGTTTGGGCTGATCATTAAGCCATGGGAGTGAGTCCAAGTCCAGGCCCAAAAGGTAACTGAGGGCCATAGTCTTAGGGGTTTCACCAATCTCTGACCAGTAATGCTGGTATTTTTTGAATTTTGTTCCACACTTTTTTTCCCCACTTTATCCAGGATCTCCAATTTTGGTCCCTTTTTGAGTAGTTGGCATTGGTGCAAGGGCACCATCTAGTTCTTCTGGTCTCAGGGTTGCACAGGCTGAGGTTACCACAGTCCATTAGTCTCTTGGACTATGTCCACACATCTTTGATTTCCCTTGCTCCTGCTGAGAGACCAATAGTCGCAAGCAGATGGCAGCTTGCAAGCTTTTAAGACCCAAGTCACTACTCACCAAAGTAGGATGTAGAACAATGTTTTTGTATACCGTGTTGTGCCAACAGAGCTTGATGTCCCCTGCATGGTCCCGAGCCCTCAGGCCCAGTGACTCACACCCTCAAGATGCTTGGTTGTGGCTAAGAAGTTATCCTAATTTTGTCCCATTACCTCTATAATATATATTGACATTTTTACAGCACGTACAAGTACGTGTCTAGGAATATCATCTGTGAGACCTACCTATGGTCAGGGGTATATTCTCATCCACCTACCCATACCTGATCTTCTTGCCTGTCTACCTATGTATCCACCTGTAGGTTAGTGTTTGTTATTACTGATAATGCAGTATCGTGTATATAAGGGTTTACCTCTGTTGTCGGTAACTCTTGTGTACTTCTCTGTCTTTCCTTTTCCTCACTGATATTGTGCTGATCACACATTTTTTGTTCTGTTGCCTTCCCTTCACTCAAATCAACACATCAACAATTTTCCTCCCCCTCTTCTCCTATCCCTGGTAAGCAACGAAGAAAATTTCCTTCCCTGTGTAAACTTTTCTTTGACTTTTTATAATAATAGACTCATACAATATTTGTCCTTCTGTGATTATTTCACTCAGCATAATGTCCTCCAAGTTCATCCACATTGTGAGGTGATTCATGAAGTCTTCATTATTCTTTAATGTTGCATAGTGTGCCATAGCATATATGTACCATAGTATGGTTATCCATTCATCTGTTGATGGGCACTATCTTGTTTCTCTGGTGCTGCTATCACAGAAATACCACAAGTGGATGGCTTTAACAAATAGGAATTTATTCTCTTACAGTTTAGGAGGCTAGAAGTCCAAGTTCAGAGTGCCAGCTCTAGGGGCTGGCTGCAGGCCCCTTGACCTTGGGCTTCAACTCTGCCTCTTATTCCAAGCCCCCAAGAGCAAGCTAAAGGCGTCTTCTGACTCATGCTGCTGCTGGCTGCTGAAGCTGACGAACCCAAAAGCAACACGTAAAATGGCACAATCCCCAGATCAGCAGAAAACATGGCAGGCCACTGGTCCAAGTCCAGGAATAATTCCAAAATCAGCAGGAAACACAGCCCAAAATGTGCCAAAAAGCTAGAGACCTTCCCCAAAGCTCTTCCATATATACTGGAAGCAGGCCACACCCCAAAGGCAGCTCTCTTTCCACTGATTAACATCTCACAGCAGATTCTACGGTGGAGGTGATTACAATCTCATCATGCGAATAACTACATCCAGTTGCCAAGCCACTCAAAACCACAGCCCAGCCAAGTTGACACAAAACCTTAACTGCCACAGGCACTTAGCTTGTTTCTGTCTCTTAGCTATTTTGAATAGTGCTGTGATGAATATGGTGTGCCATCTATTCATGTCCTGGATCTTACCTCTTTAGATATATTCTTAGTAGTGGGATTGCTGGATCAAATATTATTTGTTTCCAACTTTTTAAGGAAGGTGCCATACCATTTTGTACGATTGTAGCATTCTGTCATCCCACCAACAGTCAATGAGTTCTTTCCAATCTCTACATACCCTTACCAGCATTTGTTTCTGTCTGTTGAACCTATTATTGGTGAGGTGGGATGGTATCTCATTGTTGTTCTGATTTTTTTCTAATGGCTAATGGAAGGAAGGTTGGGCAATCTACTTCCGTAGTGATACTGCCTCAGAAACCCAAGGAGGGGTCGCTATGAGTCAGACCCGACTCGACGGCAGTTTGGTTTTTTTGGTTTAATGGCTAATGATTGTGAACATTTCTTTATGTGTTTGTTGGCTTCCTGAATATCTTCTTTGGTGAAGTGTCTGTTCATGTGTTTTGCCCCGTTTTGAATTGTCCTTTTGATGTTGAAGTACTGAAGTTTTCTATAAATTTTACAGGTAAGCCCCTTGTCAGATATGTCATTGCCAATCCTTAAGTATAAAAGAAAGTTGCTATGGAAATACTTTGAACCTGTCATTTTTGCTGATGCTTCCAGCATCCACTACAACTCTGGGTTGATGTCTGCTTAAACTTTTTACTATAGTGAACAATGCAGATTTGTTTCAGGTTGGGCCTTTTTTTTTCTTTTTCTATATTCTTTTACTCAAAATGACACATGCACATTTTTTGAAAAGTCATTCCCTAATTTTTTTTTTTAAAAGGTCCCTTGCCCTCCTTTTCTCTCTTTTCCTCTCCAGAGGCAATCACTTTCACCAGTATTAGGTAGTTACCGCCATGTATCTTTAAAATAAATAAATAAATAAAATTTTGTTTGGGGAATTATCCATTGATGTCTCACTATGGAGGTTGAAAATATAGCTTTATCTCCTTAGCAAAATAATTTTCCCTGATACTTCCATCTATGCCCCAAACTAAAAACCCCCTGTCATCAAGTTAATTTCGACTCATAGCTACCCTGTAGGACAGAGTAGAGCTGCCCCATCATTTCCAGGGCTGTTAATCTTTACAGAAGCAGATTACCTCATCTTTCTCCCTTGGGGAAGCTGGTGGGTTCAACCTGCCAATCTTTTGATTAGCAGCTGTATGCCTCAACTATGGCACCAACAGAGCACCCTCTGTCTATGCCCAGTATCCTCATTAGTTTTTTTTTTTTTTTTAACTTACTGTGATTTGTGTGAAAGTTTACATAGCAAATTGGTTTCCATTCAGCAATTCATACACAATTTGTTTTGTGACATTTACTGCAAGCCCACAATGTAACAGCACTCTTCCCATTTCCTGTGTTAATGTTTCCATTCATCCTTTTCCCTTTCCCTTTCTGCTTTCAGAGTTTTATTCCTGGGCAAATGCTGCCCTTTTGATCTAGCATGGTTGATGGTTCTAAGGAGTGCATACCTCTCTGGTATTATCATTGAACTTGTAGGCCTATCATCTGCCTAAAAGCTGAGCTACAGGAATGAGTTCAGTTCCAGCCCTGAAGGGTGTCTAAGGGCCAGAGTCTTGGGGGTTCCACCAGTCTCTCAGACCAGTAAGCCTGGTCCTCATTATATTCTTAATAGTTTAGTTTCACTCTTCCCCAGTCCCATTCCCCCTTGTGTCCCATTCTGGAATTTAACCACCTTTTTCTTCACTGAAGCTAAACTGACCTAATGGTTTTTCTTTGGAGTATTTTAAAATGGAAAGATTAACTGAGATATATTTCTAATTGGTAGAAAGTAGCAGAGATTTTTGAGTTTTCTGACAATTCTTGCCAAACTAGGATGTATCCTATTTCTCAGTAAGTATGATATGATCAATGTATACCCTCACACTTTCCCATCCTTTCCAGGACCTTGAAGCTTACCTTAGTAAGAAGGGATATTTATCAGTCACTGATGAGAAAACAGATCACCACACTAAATATCCAAAATGTATTACAGTGGTATCTGTTAGAGCTGGAACTCAGCAGCTTTGTTTTCCTGGATCTCACAAGTTGTCTGCCTTTGAAGGTGGCAATCTTTACCACTTCTGTCACTGAGTGTAGTGGAAAATACTTGACTTTTCCTTCTCCACCAGTTTCTGCCTTACACATGTTCAGCTTTTGTAGATGTTTTACTATGTATGATTCTTAGGAAATAATGTTTGAGTACTTTAAAAAGGTAGCCAATTCAGGGTCTGTACTCAAGTTTTTAGATTTTATTCTGGAGAATAATCAACTGGGACATAATGGGTTTAAAACACTTTTTAACAGTGTAATGACAGTGATTTGATAAGCAAGTCTATTTCTTAATTTTATATTAAAAACAAGTGGTCATGATAAAAAAAAATTCATGTGTAACCCTCTAATCATCTAGCGCCATTCACCTGAAGTAACTATTAATGCTTTCTTATGCAATTTTTCCAGAAATGTTCTATATACTCACTTGTAAGTATCTTTCTGTAGGCCTAGATAACAGGAGCAAATGAAGTACTCTGGACTGTTATTTAGCATCGAGTTGGCAGGATTCACTATGTGAAACAAAGAGGCCTATTTCTGTCAAGTAGTCACCAGAGTTCATACAATGTCCTTGTTCTTGTGGAGACCATGTGAGATGCTGTGTGGTTTACACAAATGTTTGTTTCTCAGCATCTTCAGTAATGGGGGAAGGAGTCTCTTCTATTAGGCACTGGTTACATTACTTTTATGGTATTGATTATCACTTTCCAAAATGGATCAGTGAGAACTCCATCTCCTTATTATTTGGAGGTAGAATTAAGTAGACTTCCTGAATGGCAGCTATGGTTCTCCCCACCCTCAAGGAAAAACATGAATGTTCTGGTTATTCCATGCTGCTCTGACAGGAATATACCACAAATAGTATGGCTTTAACAAACATGAGTTTGTTCTCTTAGAGTTTGGAGGCTTTAAGTCTGGGTTCAAAGTACCAGGCTCTAGGGGCTGGGTAAAAGCTCCTCGACCTTGGGCTTTAGCTCTGTCTCTTGCTCCCAGCCCACTGAAGCTGGAGGCATCTCTTTACTAATAAGGCAGCTGCTGGCTGCTCAGGCTGACAAACCCAAGGTCAACAAGTGAAAAGGCACAGTCCCAATATTACCAAACCACACAGCAGGCCATTAATTCAAGTGCATTAAAAGTCCCAAAATTGGCAGGGCAACATGGCAGGCTGCTGAACAATGACTCAGCTACATACAGGGTTCAAGCGTGCCATCAACTGGAGACTATTCCCAAAGCTGCTGCTTATATACTGAAAGCAGACCACATCCCTAACGCAGCCACTCAAGTGCTGCAGTAGATTCCACCATGGAGTTAATTACCACGGGGAATAACTACATCCAGCTGCTCAGCCAAGTTAACAACAACCTTAACTACCACAACGAATCCTTGGCTTCTTTTGTGGCTCACTCTGTTTAGCAATCTATCTTTCCAACTTTAACTTTAGCAACTCCAGTTTCTGAAACTTTTCTATGTCAGATGGTTTAAACACTGAATCATCACAATTTGACTCTTGACTGATACGTTCTTTTCTAACATACACAGTGGCTTGATGATAAATGAAATTTCTAAAGATATTTTCCATGTATGTCACATTGAATAGTACTTACAAGATGCTAAACAATTATGTACATAAAGGCAGTCCTCAGCTTTTAAGTGGTTTTATCCCAAAACTTCATTTCTAAAAGTCAGAACTTGAAATCCATTTTCCCTTAGACACACTACTGTGACATGTAATTAGCTGCATTCCACAAAAGCTCATCTAATCCATATTGTTGGAAAATCATATTTGAATGGCAAATGATTATGTCTCCACTATTCCCCAGGAATAAGTTAACTGTTCCTTCTCAGAATTTTCTTCATATTATTTCTCGAAATAATACGGAGATGCAGTTCTCACTGAAATGATCCACCCTAAAAGGAGCCAGCTTTAGAATGTGATTGTCAAATCACCATGTAAGTAATGTAACCATAACCTAACTGAAAATGAGACGCTCCCTTCTCCCAATACTGCAGGTGCTGGCAACATACGTTTTCTATCAGTATATTTTAGAACTTTTCTATCAGCATTCTACTTAGATTGCAATTTTATAGCATTCACCAAATTTTCCAGTTTTGTATTAATCATCCACACGATTGTACTCCTAATGCCAGAGTTTCTCATATAGCTTTCAGTTACTATTGAGTGAATGAATAAATTATTAATGAGTAAGCCATTTTACAGATGCCAATCTTATAGTTACTTGAATATTGCTAACAGCAAATTGTGGTCTTGTAGGGCCTCGCTCTAGGGTAAACTTAATGTAGTTTTTAGTAACTTGAACCCACCAAGGTAGATTTAGTGTCTGTCAACCTAAGGAAGCACTTCAAGTTTTATTTGCTGGTCTGTTATATCTGTGACTGAATTACTATTACAGATGGAAGAACTTTGGGGATCCTATTTCATTTCTAATAAAATTCATTCTAAGTCACATCTTCTTTAGGTTCTCCTTACTTTACCATTTCAAATACCTTATAAATGTAGATTTAAATTTTAAAGAACAGCCTAGCTTTCTTGATTTCAGTACGTTTTCCACGATACCACCTTTCAGAACGTTCTTTGGTTAATTAGAGATACAACAGGTGAGATGAATGTGTGATATCCCAGCTACAGAATGGAATGAACTGTGAGTAATGTTATCTAAAATATTCACAGGGGTTGAGTAAGTGGGTGGAGAATTAATTTCTAAGCTTTCTTAGCTAAATTAGATTTCAACTATTAAGTGGCAGCTGTCAGATGTCTTAAAATGGATGAAATGATTTTTAGTCCTAATAATTGTATATTACTACTTAGGTTTAAGGAGCTCTGGTAGCATAGTGCCTAAGGCACTTGACTGCTAACCAGAAGGCTGGCAGTTCAAACCCACCACAGCCACTCCTTGGAAGGAAGATGGGGCAATCTACTTCTGTAGTGATACTGCCTTGGAAACCCAAGGAGGGGCTGCTATGAGTTGGGTCTGACTTGATGGGACATAACAACTTAGGTTTTGGATATTTAGTGTGGTATTTTGTATTCTCCATCAATGGCTGATTTAAAACAAAACAAAACACAGCCATTGAGTCAATTCTGATTCATGACAACCCCCACTGGGTTTCCTAGGCTATATAAATCTTTACAGAAACAGACTGACCCATCTTTCTTCTGTGAAGCAGCTGGTGGGTTCAAACTACTCACCTTTTGGTTCGCAGTCAAATGCCTTAACCACTGCACCACCAGAGCTCCTTATCAATGACTGATAAGTTCCGTCTATCTTCATTTTATACTCTTCTATTTGTTCAAAGTAAGCAACTTGTGCCACAGATAGAATTCAGACTTGGGTCTGCTGGACTTTACAGCCATGCTCTTTCCACTATAGGTCAATGTCTTTTTCTAGAAAAAGTTAAGACCTGGATGACTATGGCTAGATAGTGAATGATGAGGGAAATTATGAAGATGACTTACTACTGCTTATATGTATTTTTTTGTTTGCCCATGACAACATCACAGTTTGTGGTTTGTGGTAGCATGAAAAAATGCAAATGTGTTTGCAATTAACATTTACTTAACTATAAAAAAACAAAAGATTATCAGTGTTACAGTTCCATGTATGCATCTTCATATAGGACACTCACTAAACCACTTGAAAATGTGGAAGAAACCAGCTTTAAGTTTCCTGTTTTTATCAAATATGCTCCTCGCCCTCTACACCGGGTTAGTTCATCAACGAGGTACCCTTGATGTTATGAGTCACATTCAAGAACTCTGCCACAACAGTCATAATGAATCTTCAGCTTCAGTGTTCATAATGATGCCTTGCCACTCTACTCCTTATTACAGGTAATAAAAGCTTTTCTCCTGTATGCTATTATTAAGACAATGAAACTACTTAAAAATTCTTTTTTAGGTTCCTGGGTTGAAATTAATTGTTCACTGATCAAATGATTACAGGAAATTTTACAGCTCTCATTCACTGATTTTAAATCATTTGAATTGTGTCAATGAAAATTACCACTTTTAAATGAATTTTAATATTCTTATCTGTATTAATGTAAACAAACCACACTTAAATGATTCTCACTTAAATATGGGATAAATAATTTTATAGACATTTGATAGCTCCTTAGTAAAGAAATCAATTACCACTGCTCTTACTTCAAATCATTTTGATACCAAACATTCTATTTACACTATTTTGGATAAATCTCAAAGCACTGGATTCTAGGCCATATTTATTATAAGACTGTTGCCCTGGTCTTTTAATCACTTTGAACATCAGTTGTTTCATCAATAAAAATTAGGAATTGAAAGATGGTATTCTAATGCTTGAATTGTTTCTGATTATTTCAACCATGCAGGCCCTTTAAAGAGACCCACTTTGATCCTATGCTTTATATTTCAGAAAGGCATATTAATTACCATGTGTCTAATGCCACTCCTCAGAAGGAAGGTTGGGCATTCCTACTTCCGTAGTGATATTGCCTCGGAAACCCAAGGAGGGGTCGCTATGAGTCGGGGCCGACTCGATGGCAAATAACAACAACAACAACAATGATGGTATAGGGACAAAGCAGCCAGCTTTCTTATAAAAAGACTATACCTGTTTAACTCAGTCTGACTTTAAACAATCTCAGTTTTCCATGTGCACATATTCAAGCATTCAACTTAGTTACCAACACAGATATTATTTAAAGAGACTTTAACATGTTGGAATGTTAAAGTGAATCTCTAATGCCAATCATTAAGAGACTGTTTGGAAAATTGTCTATCACAAGCCACAGGTTAGATGAAAGACCTCAAGTATTCCTTCAACTTAGGGATCTCCAACCATATGAAAAAACAAGGAGGGCTGAAAGAGGAACCTTCTTCTCTCCCTGTGCTTTGTCCCTATGCTGCCATTAGGCACATGGTAATTAATATGCCTTTCTGAAACATAAAGCACACAGAGGGTCAAAGTGGGTCTCTTTAAATGGTACTAAGATGCTCTCCACACATGGTTGTAATCTCAGGTTTTTTACAGTTCACCAAGTTCTCATCTTACACTCTTTCAAAGCACACAATTGGAGGGGAAAATAACCAATACCTACTTTGGAATAAGAACTACATCTCCATAATTACTATGAAAGTCATGAAATTACTAGATCATGTGTAAATTTACTTTGCAGTTCATAGACAGAAACAGTTATGCAATGGGGGTTTATTTTAACTGAATGTCTTAACTCACTCTACCAAGTATAATTTAATCCCTAAGGCATTTGACTGCTAACCAGAAGTGTGGCAGTTCCAACACACTAGCCACTCTGTGGAAGAAAGACTGGGCAATCTACTTCCATAAAGATTTAACTGTCTAAGAAACCCAAAAGGGGCCGTTATGAGTCAGAATCTACTTGAAGGCAATGAGTTTGGGTTTTTCTGGAAGATAAAGTTATAAATATGGCTTTTTGCATGGCCCAAGTAACTCAGTTAAATTTATCATGAATGGTATTGAGATGAATCTTTTTAGAGATACTCCAGTCTTCCAGGCCACGTAAAACCATTACTTATTTAGATGTTATCAGTGAATATATGTTGCTCTGTATTACTAATCTTACTTACAAGTTTTTTTCTTTAAAAAAAAAAAAGTACTTTAAGGGTATAACCTATCCCCTTTCTGTTTCATGATTAGTTTTCTAACCTTGCTAAATAAGCCTATGGAGAATTACTCTTATATTAACAAATAACTTCCCCAATTCTCAAGGCCATTAATTTCTGTGACAGCTTACTAATGCTAGAGAAAACTGAGCACTCCCCAACCCCCAAAGCTGGTGACTGACGTACTTCCCACTTTAAAATGGAGTTTCATGCTTTATTTTGGACTTGTTGGTTATGGAGATAGTGCTGCTAGACAGTATGGGAATCATGTTCTCCGTCTTTGAGAAAACTGCATTAAGTGGAACTCGGTCTATAGATTCCAATTTCACATTTTGTTATATGAACACAACATATGTTAAGAGTAATTTGAATACTTTCACAAATTTTACTTCTTGAAACTATAATAGTTATTTTCTTTTTATAGCCATGTTCATTGCCCACTCCCAATGAGATTTCTCCAGTGCCCCCCAGACCTGACAGGAAAAAGTCATTATCTTGATGAAGCAGATATATTTTACCTAAATCCCTTACACTGGTTATATAAAGAGTTTCACAATGATTCATCATTGCCTACTCACTTGATCATCTTCAGTGTTTTGGAGGAGGTAAGTAAACATAAAAAACTTTAATATTTCTTTTGCACCTCAGGTTTAACAAACATTCAGGTAAACAAGACAATATAACCTTTTTATGGTCCCTTTCAAACTCAGTTATTTTATAACTTGCCTTTCCCCCAACCCAAATTAGCCCCAGTTCTGTAACTATAAAGGTACATTACTTACCATAAGTTAACACTTTTAATTAAGACATCTTACTGTTTTATTAAGAAAACAGTTCTACTGGAGAAATTAGAATAGGCAATTCTAAAATTCTCTTTTAAACAGTACTCAGTTAAAATGTAGCCTTATTAAATTTCTTTTTTTTTACTCCTAGGAATTAAGTACTTTTCTCATTTCAAGCAACTATGAGAGAACTGCTGTGATATTCCATACTCACTTGCCAGAAGGTCGAATTGGGAGTCACATACACATCTATAAGCAGAAGTTAAAAGGAAAACTCAACCAATGAAATTCTGTACTGTGCTTAGATCTTTCCCAGAGAAACTGACATTGCTGGGTAGAAATATTCAGATCCTACTCAGATACTTCAGTAAACACTGGGTAAGATACATGAAACTAGCACAAAACTACTGTGAATAGCTTTACCAAATAGCACTACTGAGGAAATACACAAAATATCACAAAGTATAAAATCACAAGGTGATTGATTCAATGCCAGATTTTAAATAAAGACCTTTAGTTTTCCTTATGATGTAGTTTTATTGTTTCTTCCACAATATTCAGATGTGCAAGAAATTTCACAAGAGTAAGTCAGCAAGGTCATAAGAAGGCAGCAAATTCTTCACAAGTCAACGGGCTCTTGAACCCACAAAAAGACAAGAAGCAAGTATAAGATTATAAAATATTAAAAGATGAAATTCCATCACAATATACTTTCTCCAACCTCTACTACAAACTTAACACAAATATCAGTGTTCATTACACTTTGCCATATATGATTTGAGCTTACTTTAAGCTCATACACTAAAAGGGAAGTCTTACTTCATGCATTAAAATCTGTTGCATGCCTGGCTTTCTTAACAATAAAACTAGAGTTGAACAATTCCAGAGCCAAAAAAATTCAGCAAAGCTACACTACAGGAAAATGCAGGTTAGTAAGCTTTTGACTGATACTTCTGGTAATAGTATAATGTCATCAAACTGATACTTAGCAATGAAAAAAGGGCATTGTCATCTTGATCATTTCATCTTACTTAAACACCAAACGTTGTAGAAAGCATCTGTTCTCTTACAGTTTTTAATCTAACTTAATCATGATGGTCAATATTTAGGATCAAAAGGTAACTGCACCAATTCTATTTCCAGATTTGCCATGTGTCTTCCATTAGTGCGACCATGTTTATGCCATTTACCTTCCCTTTTATAAGGCTGTGGCTGAGGGTGCTTCTGCTCTTGTTTTCGATGCCTGGAGCTTTCAATATTTACCATACGTTGCTTTTTATCAGGTCGACTGAAAGCAGTAAACACATTTTTCATCTATGTTAGAGTTAAATTTATTTAAATTAGAAACAAGTTTAATTTTTTTCCATTAATTTACTATCTGAACACTCTGAAAAAAGATGTTATTCTGAAATATAACACTATTAATGTAATGTATATTAAAAAAATAGTGACTAGTAACATTTACTATGTAATTAAAAAGTAAACAAATAATGTAACTGTTGGCAAAAAGCGGAAACGTTCAACAGGTAACATAAAATGTGACAATAAAATAATGAGATGTCTTTCCTTTTTTCTTCCTTTCCTGTAAAAATCCCTCTCCATTGGCTTCACCCCTCAAAAGAAATTGGTACGTATCACCTCGTACAAACAAAAGTTTCTGGCCAGCTTTTCTCATATCTAAGGTTCACAAGTAATGTCTGCATTTATTGCTTTCCTCAATCTCTCTATATAATCAAGCTTCTGTCACTAGTTGACTGAAACAATTCATATTGCCATTCACAGCCACCCCCCAATTCCCAAGCTACAAAACATTTTTTTGTTTTTTTAAAGCATTTGACATATTTGAATATTCCTTTTACATGAGATGATCTGATTTTCATGTCATTCTGTCTGGTCTCATGCTTTTCAACCTTCTCTACAACTCTATAGATATTAGTGTTCCTCAAGAGTCTAGCCCAGACTACAGGAATGCACATATGCAAAGAGAGTTCTACACCCATACATTAATGGCCAACTAATCCTTCTTGACTTGAACATCAAGCAGCTATCTCCAGCCTTGGGTAGCACAAACAGTTAAGCATGGAATACTAACCAAAAGATTGGAGATTCAAACTCACCCAGAGGTGCTTTGGAAAAATGGTCTGGTGATCTGCTTCTACAAGATCAGTCATGAAAACCCCATGGAGTACAGTTCAACCTTGACACACATGGGGTCACTATCAGTCGGAATCCACTCAACTGCAACTGGATGGCACCTCCAAGCACAATTTTCATCTCCAGTTCCCCTGGTCCAAAACTTTTTCCTGGTATTCTATATCTTGGTAATGGTATCACTTTATATATATATATATATATATATACACACACACAACTAGTAACCCAATTAAAAAATCTGGACGTTATTGTCCCTTTCTACTTTCACAAAAAATACCACCAGTTTTACTATCTGTATTCAAATTTGTCTCATCCTTTCATCCCTACAACTATTATCCTAGTTCAGACACTACACAGCATATGTCTGATTGTTTCAAATACCTTGTTTTCTACCATTACCCCTTTATAATAATCCATCCTCCAAGGCTGTTGCCAGTGATCTAACATCTTACTCCACCCACCTCAGAACTCTTCAGAGGTTCTCCATGTACTACAGGACAAATCCTTTAATATAAAATGGGGCTCTTCATGATCTAATTCTATTCACACACAGCCCCCCCAGCACTACCCTGTTTCTTGAAATGGCCTGTCTTCCCATCTCCAAATCTTTGCAAATGCAGTGCCCTTTGGAATGAACTTCCATAATATGGTTGGCAAGTTTGCATTTATCCTTCAAAAGTTAGTGTTTAAAAATTTCAGCTCAAAGGCTACCTCACTCATCTCAAACATCTTCAGACTGACTGAGGCCATCATATACATACCTACATACCTTCCTTTTCTCTCTTTGTGTATTATCTGTTTGCCTAACTCTCCACTAGCTTGTGAGCTCCTTCACAATAAGAATTTTCATTTTTCCTCAGGATATCCTCATGGGGCTTTGCTTATTAAAGGCACAAGATACTCAATGACTAAAGACACCAGAATCAAGTCTCATTATTTTACAGACACATTACATTTATTCAAAAAGGTAAGTTTTATGTTACAGAGTAAAGCTGATAAGCAATGGATAAAAATTATTTTTTAAAAGTCATATATAGGAAGCACACACATTAGAACTTATGGCTTGCTAAGTTTGCCTCTTTATCAAAAATAATTCTGTAATTAAATGTATAAAATACCATAATTAAGTTGGTAAATAGAATGGACAAATGAAAAAAGTGGGGTATATTAGAATTGTTATACAGCAGGCTCTTCTGAATTCAGGGTGAAATTGGTGTTGTTTACTCTTAGCTTCCCAAGGTTAGCATATAAATAAAAGCACAATTAAAAACACTTTCACTTAAGGTGATTATCTTTTCATATAAAGTATACTAAAAGGAAACAAAATAGGCTAAAAAGAATTTAATAAATACATATTCTCCTTAACTGATTTAAGTCAGGAATTAAATCATTTGCCCAAGTCAAACCGATTGTTATGTGAAATTTTCACTTTGTAATAGCTATAATTTTTAATTACATCTTTTTTTTCCCTAAATTCTCAACATCAATAAAGTATGTCTTTTACAAATAGTATCCTTCCAAGCAACTATACCGAATGAGAAAAATCTATCCAAACTGTAGATGTCAGAAACTATTATGATAACATGGTGCTATGTAAACCGACCTGGGTCCATATGGAGGGGACAAAGTGTCACCAAGGAAGTGTCTATATATATATCCGTCCAAATTCTCAAACACTCCATCATTATTTACTTGATATTCCTTCATGGCTTTAAGATAATCTTTAACATCATTAACAAAGTCAACGAAGAGCTTCTGATCATGTATAAAGACACCATTTAGGAAAAACTTATTGATGAATTGATCAAGTTCTTTCCAGTGATGGAAACCATCCAGTTCTTCTAATAAGAATCTTAGTATTAACTGTCTAAATTCATCTATCCTTACAGGATTCAACACTACATTAAAAAGGCTAAGGGATTCCTGTCGAGCACAGTCAAATACATCGGAACAACCTTTTCTCAATGAACGATAATTTTCACAGTCACGCTCAGCACTACATTTCTGTGAATTTGCATTTATTCCGAATCTCTCAAAGTGAACTGGCTTTTCCTTCCTTCCCTCTCTCTGCACAGTAGGGCCTCTACTATTCTGGTTTTGTGTAGCTGTCTTATATTGTGGATGTAAGTATTCACGATAAACTGTTCTTGTCCTTTTAGCTGCTGCTTCTTTTGTAGCGCCAAATCTTTTATTCCCTTTTTCATCAAAGATATTCTTGGTAGTATCTTTGAAATGTCTGAAAGTAGATTTAACTGAATCTGAGAATTTTTTCAGATTTTCCTTCACAGCTTCTTTAGCCTGTTTAATTTTTTCTTTATGATGCCTTACAAACTCCTTGGTTGAATTTTTCATTGCATCAAATGTTTCCTTAACTGAACCCAAAAATGTTTCCTTTGACTTATTTTTAGCCCTGTGGTTTCCTCTGCCTCCTTTCTTTTTTCCATCACTTTCCTGTTTTCCATTTTGATCTTTTGCCTCAATATACAGTCTTTCCCACAAATCAGAACGCTGTTGTTCAAAGTTCAGCTTCCGCTCCAGCTCCGTAAGTCTTCCCCGTAAAGTTTCTATTTCCTTTTTCTCAGTCAGTACATTGAGAGAGTCTTGATTGCCATATGACTGACTAGTGCTTAACTGCTGGAGTTCTACCCTTAAGGCAATGGTTAATAGTCTCTCTCTGTCCAGTTCGCTCTTTAGCATCTTTGCTTCTGCCAATAAAGTCTCCCTTTGATTAAGAAAGTTGTATGTCTTCTTCTTTTCCTCTTCCAAATGCTGCCTAAGTTTCTGATTTTCGGTAACTAATTCAGTACTTGTTCCTTTATTTTCCAATATCCTAATCTGTTCTCTTAGTTTCCTTAACTCTTCCTGTAAAGAACACAAGGCTTTTTCTTCTTTCTCCAGAGATATTTTTAAATACTCATTTTCTGTAGCAAGGTTCTTCTTTTGAGTTTCAAAGGACATTTTCTCTTCTTCAGTAAGGGTCCAACACCTTGCAAGGTTTTCCTTCAATGACTATTTTGTAAAAGGGAAGAAATAAAAATATCAAGTGCTTTAAAAACTAAATTTAAACCAAAATTTACAAAAATATCCCATAAACTTTACTATCTTTATTTCAGAAAAAGCTATTCTTTGGGTAGTATTTTCAGTACTATAAAAATTGGAAATTACAAATATCATATGCAAGAACATGCACAGCAGAGAGCCACAATACACTAAGAAGAAGAGCATGGCAGAAGAATAATTGTTGTTATGTGCTGTCAAGTCAGACCCCACTCATAGTGACCCCTCCTTGGGTTTCCAAGGCAGTATCACTATGGAAGTAGATTGCCCCATCTTCCTTCTGAGGAGTGGCTGGTGGGTTTGAACCACCAGCCTTCTGGTTAGCAGTCAAGTGCCTTAGGCACTACGCTACCAAAGCTCCAATAGAAGAATTAGAGATAAGGAAAAGTTAGCTAGGTTGGGTTTATCCCTAACATGATTTTTTGAAAGAGACCATAAGAAATCTTTTCTAGTTTGGGGGCCTGTTTACAAGTCAGGATAAATGAGTATATAGTCTTTTTATCTTTTGACTGTAAGATTCCATCTTTCCTGAAAAGGCTTCTGGAGAATTTAGGCAGGACTTAAGGTTTTCCAATGCTTGGGTCAAGGAGATTATCTTTTATTAAAAGTAAAATTAGCCAGAGCTGGCTTTAGGCCTCAAAATTTTTTTTGGGTAGTCACTGCACCCTTTGAAGAAATGTTTCAATAATCTTAGTCTTATTTTTAAAAGATCTTAGTCCTATGAAAGTGAACATTTCTAGGGTAAGTGCAGGTTAGGTCATAACAAGAACTATAAATGCTTTAGAGGACAGATTGAACGTCGGTAACACTATAACTAGTCTCCCCAGTTTCAAATGAACTTTTCAAGTGATTGTAACCCAGATTACCAGGTAACTCTGAAACATCACCCCACACAGAGAGAAATCATGTTCAATCAGGTGTATAGAATTTTAACTGCAGTTTAAAGTAGCCTTGACTGATCTTTCTTTGAACATGCCTTAGTAACAAGCATTACCAAAACCAATAGAAAATTAAACACTATGCTTCAATAGGTAATGATAACACCATAAATATTTGGATGTAGCATTATCTAGTCAGTTAAAATAGCTTAACATATAAATTTGTGAAATTACACTTAAATTTGGCTAATTTATCACAGATATTATGGTAATTTCATTTGAATCAGATTAGCAATATATAATTACAAAAACAAACCAAAAAAAAAAATTCTGTGAAAAATAACCATCTGAAATGGATGCTTCAGTCTCATTAATCTTCTGAGAAAAAATTTAAATTTAATATTTCATTATTGTCATTCCATCTGCTTTTCCTACATGAGAGAAAACAACAATTTCATCTACCCAACAGCAGGAAACTGTCAACTATAACAGGCTGATATAGCATCATTTTTAAATGCATAACCACAGGTAAGCCACAGAATAATGAAAGTACAACATTCCTCATCTGATAAATTCAATAACCATGGTGGAAAAGAAAAAAATGGCTACTCTTTTTAGAACATCCTGTGACCTAAATGGAGAAAAATGAACTATTTACAATTAACTTCACAGTACCTTCCTGAAAGAAATACTTAGGATGTCAAATGGGATTCTGTCTTCCCAAGCAATATAATCATAACCCCTAAGAGATCCATACACAAATTGTGAAGGAGATTTGGAAGCATGCAGGGGAAAAGAAACAGCTTAATTTTCTACCAAGAATTTTTTTTAACAATTTCTATAACCTTCTTGGAGAAGAACTAGATAAAACCAGATGTTTTGCTTATCCTTGTAAACCCATAAAGGTACTGGTTACTAGACAGAATGGGTAGTACAGCCCCACAGGAGCTAGGTGGATTTTAGGAAGGGAAGGATAAGATGTTACTCCTTCCATCAGAACTAACAAGAGACCAGAACAAAAGGGACAGGCTAACAATTCTGATCAAAGGAAAAGCTACAAACTCTCTTTTTTTCCCACTGACCAAAAATGTTTTGCTTAACTATGTAAAAATAGTATTAAATACAGCATAGTGGTTAGAAGTTCGGGCTCTGGAGTTAGATACTTGGAATCAAACCCAGCTCTTTCAGTTACATATCTTGGGGAAGCTGCTTAACCTTTCTCATCTATATAAGGAAGTTAATACTTGATTCACAGAGTTGTGATGAGAAATAAGAGAAATACTATATATATGATGCCCTTATGGTAGTAACTAAGGACACAGTAAGAACTCAGTAAATAATTACCAAATATGATTACTGACTTACTAATCTGCACTGTACTTGTATGTACACTTATTAGTTATCATAATTTTCTATATTTCTTATTTGGATGTACCTTATAATCTGTAAAAGACTCTTGTTCCTGTTGACATTGAGAAAGATAATCCTTCATGTCATTCAGTTCATCTTCATGTATCTTTCTGACCAACTGTTGATGCTTCTGAACCTGAATTGTGCCTAAAATGAAAAATTTCATTGGGTATAAAACAAACATTTTGATTACTGATGTTTTATAATATGTAACAAAACATTTAATTTTCATGCAATTCACATACTTAATTCAGACAGGATCTTTTCTTCAAAGTATTAGTATTTCACAGTTCTATAAAAATTCTGATTATATAAACTAAGAACGAATAAGTAAAAACTCATGGTATCATTCAAATGGCAGTGAATGTTAATTGTAATATAAATCAGACCAAATATGCTAATTTGTTTTACTCAGCATACCCTCAAGAACATTTAAGCAGTTCACTATCCTTTTAATTAAAACAAATAAGACACCCGTATTACTCTAACAAAGAAAACAATTTCACTGTAATGTATTCATCCTAACTGTGCCTACCGAATGCCTATTAAAAGCACTCTAGGTTTGGGGGGGGAGGAGATCTTTGAAGTAGTTAAGTGTTTCATCTTCTCTTCCACAGAGAAACAAACAACTATGTCTATTCAAAGATTAGAGTCAATAAGGAAAAAATGGAAATAAATGTTTTTCTCACTGTATTTTGCCTACATGATAGATACTTTTCCACACAAGTCCAAAAAAGTACAGCAGGGAAAATAATTGGCTAACTCTAACCACAATTCTCAAAGCCAAATCTTTATGAATTCTGCAGTGGTTAAGTCTGTACTTGTAAATACACTTCAAATTTCAAGTCAGGCTTCACATTACACCAGTCAAGTTGATACAACACTTCCTACTAACCTAAACAGAGTACAGCTATAAGTATAACTCAATTGGCTATCTCCTGCTCTGACCACTAGCCAACTTCCTGAAACTTTGGGTGAACCTGAGGTAAGTGGCAGAAAGTGCCCCTCATCTTTCATGATTGTACAAAGACATCAAAACTGGAGTACATTTGTCCCTATCCCAGCAGTGATAAAGATTCCTAAACGAGCTAGGATTCTCTGTATTTTCACCCTAAAAATCAAAATGTTTATTTGCCAAGACATGCTGTTTACATGCCACACTCCATGCTTCATGCATAAGTGCGTGGGGGGGGGGCACCACTTATCAAAAATGAGGCAAACTGCATTTGGCAACCTTCTTTTCTATCTACATACCATTATGTAAAGACATCACAGATTTTTGCAACATAAGGTATGATAGCTTACTATTTCTTCCCTTACTTCTAAGTTTTTTATTTCTTCCATACCTCTTGAAGTTAAGGATTCACTTGTCTTTCAACAGTCCAATTTATAAAAGCATAGGAAACTTAAGCTTATAACATTTCCATACCAAAGTGTAAAAACTGCTCAAAATTTTTCAAGTGTTTAAATTATCCATAGTTCCCAGAGTAACAGAAAACTTGTATTTCAAACTACCAATAGGATAAATACCTTTGCCCTCTGCAAAGTAACCCAACTATGTGTTGAGATCTGAATTCAAGGCACTATAACATATGCCTAATGATGGTCTTAATATGATCTTTTTCCCCTGCATTTTCAGCTACCTAACAGTAAAGTAGTACTACCTATTATGAATAGAATTATTTCCCCAAAAAGGTATGTTGAAGTCCTAACTCCTGTACCTGTGAATGCGACTTTGAGAAAACAGGGTGGTTCTTTGATGTTATCAGTTAACAAAATTAAAACTAGAGTATGGCAGGTCCAAATACCTTCTGAGTGATGTCCTATAAAAACGTATTTGCTGTTGTTGTTGTTATATGCCCCGACTCACAGCGACCCCTCCTTGGGTTTCCAAGGCAGTATCACCACAGAAGTGATACTGATTACCCCATCTTCCTTCCGAGGAGTGGCTGTGAGTTTGAACCGCCAGCCTTCTGGTTAGCAGTCAAGTGCCTTAGGCACTATGCTACCAGAGCTCTCCCATAAAAATGTATAGGAACACAAAAATCTGCCCAGGGCTACCAGAAGCTCTAAGAGATAGTTAAGGAAGAAGCTTCCTCTAGAGCAGACATAATAGCCAAGTTCTGCTGATGTCCTAAACCGAACCAAAACCAAACCCACCTATCATAGAGTTGATTCTGACTCACAGCAACCCCCGCAGGGTTTCTAAGGTGTTAAATCTTTACAGAAGTAGATTGCCCAGTCTTCCTTCTGCTGAGTGGCTGGTGGGTTTGAACCACCAACCTTCTGATTAGTAGTCAGATGCCTTAGGCACTGTACTACCAGAATTCCCCTCAATTCAGACTTCCAGCCTCCAGAACTGTGAGAAAATAAATTTCTATTATTTAAAGCCATACACTTTGTGGTATTTGGCTAAGGCAGTCTTAGGAAACCAAGATATGACCTTCCCCTTTGTTATCTCCATGTGCCTATCTTATTGCATTAACCTTCTGTCACAGTTTATGCTATCACTTATGCTAAAACTTATCATCTCCACCTCTCATCAGAGCTTCTAGTCAATATATACAGCTCCTGAAAATAAAAATTCAACTCCTGCCCTAACCATTAGAATAAAGATGAGTAGAAACAAATGAATGAAATTGAGCTCACCACCTATGTATAGCTCCCCCAACTCTAAAAGTAAAGTAGCTAGTACTGCCTGGAATTTAACAAACAAATCACTAATATCCTAAGTATTCAGCCTCAAAGTCCTGTTTGTCATTTTTCCTTCAGTGGCCCACATTTCAAACTTCTCTCCATCTCCACTATCACTTTCGTTGTTAAGGCTCTCATCACCAAATATTTAGATTACAAAACCTCCTAGCTGACTATTCTAGTTTTTTCCATACCACCTATCTCTCCATTCTTCTTTGGCTTTTCCTCTAAAAATCAAACCCTCCACTCAGATTCCAAGCTGTTTTACAATCTAACATCCCACCTATTCTACCCTTAAATATTATTGTTTCTAAATACTCATTCTGATGTAGGCTGGCAAGATTTTTCACTGTCCAAGTTCAGCTGAGTGACTCACTTTGATAGTATGTTTTTATTAATTATTATAAAGCAAATGACTGATTACAGAGGGTAATGACTGACTTCATGGGAGAAGATGGGAAATTCAAACCAGCTCAGTAAACAACTCCAAACAGTTTATATTAGTACCAGAATTAAGGGAAAATAAAAAGTGGTATCCTTTAGATAACCAAAACTCCAAACGCACTGCTGTCAAGTCAGATCCAACTCATAGTGACCCCTCCTTGGGTTTCCAAGGCAGTATCACTACAGAAGTAAATTACCCAACCTTCCTTCTGAGGAGTGGCTGGTGGATTTCAACCACCAGCCTTCTAGTTAGCACTCAAATGTCTTAGGCACTATGCCACCAGAGCTTCTATCCTTCAGATGCTTGTTGTTATATGCCATCGAGTCAGACCCAACTCATAGTGATCCCTCCTTGGGTTTCCGAGGCAGTACCACTACGGAAGTAGATTGCCCCATCTTCCTTCCAAGGAGTGGCTGGTGGGTTTGAACTGCCAGCCTTCTGGTTAGAAGTCAAGTACCTCAGGCACTACACTAGTGACCTTGAAAAGCTAGCATTAAGTTAAGTTTTGTATATATAGATCTACTTAATACTCTATCACACAAGCTTTTGATTTTCTGAAAAGCTACTATGAAAAAAACAAGTATATGAAAAGGTTTTATTAAATATAATCATTAAAGTATATTTCTCAAGTAACCAAAATCCTTGAATAGGGAAGTAATTTTTCAAGTTTTAAAACAATTTTCTCTAAATTTTTCTACAAAATACTCTAAGGTCATGCAATTGGTAAGGTTTTAATGCAGTTTGGATTGGATTAACAGTAAGTTACTAAGCAATTTTTGTTTTTTCAGTAAGAAAAAAAGATTAAAATAAGACCTTCTCCTTGGTTATCTTCATGTTTACCTGTAGAAGGGAAAAAAATCACACTCAAAAAACACTGATATATTTGCTCCAGCTAAATAGTAAACAAAATTTAATATATATTTCAAATTAAATCTCATTACAATAAACTTCAAGGGAGAATACAAATTGTAGTATCTCAATAGCAAATTCAAGTAGGCATCCACCAGGGTCTAAATAGTTATTAACATAATGTTAGATACAAGAAGAAACACATTTTACTGACACTAAACTAAGCAAGTATTGATTGTCTCTGAAGTTTACCATTACAGATGCTGAACATAAATATGTGTTTTCCACTAATCAGCATAGGATATAGCATTCAATACAGATTGAAGTCATTCTTCAATCTTCACATTCATATTTTTGCAGTAACTGGTCATGTTACAGATATCTGCATGTACCTACAACATAAAGGGTAAGCCAAGATGGTATACAGTTGGCATGACTATTAGGTATGATGCAAATGTGGAAATTTTATTCATTATCTAGATTCCCTGCTATTAATCTTTAAAGACACCTGATGCATTTAACCTAAGCAACTTGAAATTATTAAATTCAACTTCAGTAATAATTATCAACTGATTAATGACCATTAGCATGATATCTAGGTCTGGTAATTGCAGAGTAATAGCAAGGGAGATTAGGCTTCTATTCTACTAGATCCTATGTTACTAATTAGATTTAAAAAATGTAAATAGTGTAAGGGACTACGGATGGCAAGTGATGGCCACATTTTGGCCAGTGAAAGGCCAGAGACATACGTTTCTATGTAGTTATACTGCCTAGCACAGAGCAGGTATTCTATAAAAAGAAAAATAAATACTGACTGAATAAATAAACAAATGGGCACTGTATGAAACTATAAAATGAAAATTTCAAGAAATTTACTCCCCCAACAGTCCTATAAGTTTATGTGTATGATCTGAATTCCAGGTGTATAGTAGAGCTGACAAGAGGCAAGGTGGTAGTCACTGCTTGGTCATAGCCAGCTACCCAGAGGGACTGAGTAGTTGAACCTGTGGGCTTGGGACCAGAGTCACAGGGGACATCAAGCTCAATTGGCATAACATACTATACAAAACATTGTTCTACCTCCTACTTTGGCAAGTAGCGACTGGGATCTTAAAAGCTTGCAAGCTGCCATCTAGATGCAACAATGGGTCTCTCCTCATCCAGAGCAAAGAAGAATGAAGAAAACCAAAAATTCATGGATACAATCAGTCCTAGTGACTGATACACCATCCAATCTGCAGCCTATACAACTATGAGACCAGAAGAACTAGATGGTGCCCGGCTACCAATGTCAACCACTTGGAAGGGGATCTACGTAGGAAATCCTGGATAGAGAGGGAGAACAATGGGGACAAAAGTCAAAATCATTTGGGGAAAAAAAAAGGGGAGGGTGGACCAGGTTTGCTGGACCGATAGAGCCTGGTGGAATCACTGAGACTGTGGCCTCTAGATGCCCGTCAGGTCTGGAATTGAACCCACACCTCTGTGGTTTCCAGCCAAGCAAAAGACAGGCATATGAGTTGAACATTTACCTGAGGTAGATACACTCCTTGGAGAGAACAAGCATGGGAGAAAGAAGGGCTGCTTATGCACCAGGAGACAGCTCAGGGGGCAATAGAGCATGGAGGGATGGACACAGGGAAGAGGTAATTATGGGGAGGAAGTGGGAGGGGAGCTGTTGCATTGTGTAAATTGTGGTCAGTGTAATGAGACAAAGTGTATGTGAACTGCTGTATGGAAAGTGAATTTGCTCTGCAAATTTTCACCCAAATCACAATAATAAAAAAGAAAGAAAGAAATTTACTCCCCTCAAATAATATTAAAGTACTAATACTTAAATAATATGTTTCAATAAACAACCTCACCAGGTGGGCTTTGCTAATTCTTTGCACAGAAACAGGGTTAGGTAGTACAGCAATCTATACACTGTATAAGAAATAAAAAAAAGAGTAGTGCCTACGTAACTGCTACCCTGTAAATCAGTAAAAGCAAAGCTTATTAACTGTTCATTTTACATATATAATTACATACAGAAGTTAATTACAACAGGCTCTTTACTGAATATATACTAAATAAGTCTCTGTTAGCACAACCAATTTTTGTTACAAGGAAGGAGCAAAAGAGGAATATTCAGAAAGCTAAACTGTAGATTAGACAGACAAAAAACCTAAAGGAAGCTAAGATAAGGCAAACTAAAATTTGTGAAGTTGACAAAATCTTAGACTATTTCTTTTCAGTTGTTTTTTTCCTACAAAATTCCTAAAGAACAAAAAGTATGAATGTTTAGTTCTCAAACCCTTCTGTCTTTGTTCAAATATATTCCTCAAATAAGAGATTCAATAGAAGCTCCGAAGTGAAAAGTTATACCACATGGAATTCTTTTTTAAGAACTGGAATTAGTAAGATTATCAATATATGTAAACACTAACAAGTATAATACCAAGCAAACTGTGAGGCTAAACTACAAAACAAATGAATTAATTCACACAAATCATGGAAGCAGCAATTGATGTCACAAAATATGATGCTTGCATGAAACCTGAAAGTAGAAATTAGAGAGACTAATTGTGACCATTTCAAATGTAAGCATTTCAAGTGGACCTCAATTTCCTTAATAAGGATCGTTTGGTCATAGTTTGTGGTTCTGAAATGGATTTGTCTCATGGTAAGCATTTCAGATTTTTAATCTTTCATCTTTTTATTTTAAAAAAGCCATAAACACATTGCAGTGTAGTAAATTACTGTGTGGCTTTTCTACCCATAAGTCTTTGTAAACTCCAAGGTGGGATTTGCTATGAGCAACTGAGGAGCTCCTGATTGCTGAAGGTGTCCACCTGGAGTATTTCTGTTGGGGTGGCACAAAACAATGTTGTGGGAGGTGCCCACTCTCTCTCAGGTGCTTAGAGTTCTGATGCTATAATTGGCTAGTTTGACCCCCTGTGGGCTCTAAAGGAGGCCTCCTAGAGGCAGAACTCTGACTGCTGGTGGAGGAGACGTGCTGCTGAAAGAGACACGCACCCCTGAAAGAGACACGTGCTGCTGGGAAAGAGACGCAAGAGACACACATTGCTGAGTGAGACACCAAGGGACCGACACTGCTGGGAAAGAGACTGTGAGAGACTGTTTGCTGAGGGACAGTGGGCTGGGAGAGAAACTGAGCATTCTTCCTGAACTTGAGTTGTAGCCTGGTGCTTCCCTAATAAACCCCGTAATCCGTGAGTTCTGTGTGGCCACTGCAGTGAATTATCGAACCCAGAGGAGAGGTGGTGGGTGCTTTGGGAGGAACGGTTGGTGAAAGGGCTGGAGGGAGGCAGCATGTCTGGCCTTGTAGGAATAGGCCTTGGGTTACTGCTGGTAATCCTGTCTTCCCCTTGTAGGGTTAGAGGAGGTCGGAACATGTGGCCTCCTTGCCATTTTTGTACACATGTATTAAATAATCCTTATATTTCTAAAAGAAATAACTACTGCCTCATATAACTGAAAACCACTTTGTGAGACAGGAAACACTATCACCATTTTCCAATAAGAAAACTGAGGTTCAAACAAGTTGTGAGTTTTCCAAGGTCATATATTAATGATAGCACTGAAAACAGATCCCAGAATTCCTCATTCAGAGGCATCTACATGGGATTTGCTATGAGTCAGGATCAACTTGACAGCACACAACAACAGAGGTTTCTACATTATGCTGTCACATCATGTATAAATTTTCAAATACTTACCATAGAAATGTCCAAATCCCATGCTGACTGCAATCACTAAAGCAAGTATAACACATTTATTAAGACCACTACTGAATTGGCGTTTATGCAAGTTCTCCTTGGAAGGCTCAGTTTCTTGTTCAGCAGGCAGTCGCTCTTCAGATTCTGAACTAGAAACAGTCTTCTTCCTAGCACGGCGTCGTCTAAAAGCAGGACTGGGCTGATGACTGGTTTCATCACTACTTGATTCATCATCACCAGGTTGAGATGAAAATACTATTTTAAAAAGAAAAACGTGGCTATTTAAGTATTAAATTAAAAAAAACTTTCCCAGTAAATATGATTTAGAACTAACACCATCCCTACATGCCCGTTTACATGAGACAGCCCCCCCAAAAATATAAACACACCACAAAAACATAAATATTCAAGTTCATCAACATAAAACCAAAACATAAATGATTTCAACTGTGACACACAAGAATCTCTCATCATATTCTGGGCCTTTGAGGGTCTATCTAGTTTTTCACTCCCTTTGTAGTTTACACCATTAGAAAAACATTCATTCTTGTAGCTTATTAAATTTCAGTGCTATTAAACTATAAACAAGTACTATGTCAGTAAGGAAAATAAACTTTCAATTGCAAACAGAGGTCATTTAAACTCAACTGTTTAGGAAAGTACAAAAGCAGTTTCTGTGAATTACGAAGTATAATAAATATCAAAAGTCATCCTTGGGATTATTTGTTCTCTAGTTTCACTGCCATTCTATTTGCCCATGATCCCTTTCAAAAGCACTGTAAGTTTAACATAGGTTTCCAGAAGTCAGATGAGCCCTTCCCTTCAACTGCCACTCTTACTAGAAGGTTATTAATTTTACCCTCTAGTAAATATGTCAGCATGAGGAAGTGACACAACAGCTATCTCCGATATTAAGGACTAGTCTGGTGTTGCTGTTTTATGAAAAGAATAGTAAAGAATAGCAAATCGGGGAAAAAAAAATCCACAAGAAATCTCAAGTCCTAGGAACATACCTGCTGGAAAAATCACCTTCATTTTTTCTAAATACATTATTTCTTAACACTGTCCCATATTAGATCATTCAGTACTGATTTCCACAGGCCAGTTAGAAGAAAAGAAAAAGCACTAAAACTAAGGACAAATTGTGAACTTGAATTTGATACAAAGAGCTCTAAACAAACATTCAAGCCTCCAAAGAGTAAAAGTAAAACAGTTTTTCAAAACACAGGATTATCCATGCCACAGGAAAGCTCGTGATTTGGGTTAGGCAATACTTTTTAAAGATGAGTCATGGAGGATTCAGTTAACTTTCACACTTACAACAACAAACACAAAGACAGAAGGCACTACTGAATGAATCAATATTCCTAATATTTAGTAATACAGGTGCCACTGAGAGATCTTTTGGTCATGACCCTTATGCCCATCATGTTTATCTGGTTATTCTTGATCACTAGTTTTTCCAAGATGTCGATGCCTCAGCTGTGAGGTTATATTTCTTGGACAAAGAGAAAGAAAGGAAGACTTAAACAAAGCATTACATAATACAAAGGCATTCAAGATCAAGGCTGGAGTATTTAAATCAGATTTTCTGACATAAGTAAAAGTAAAAACAGTCAATATTCTTTAAATTTTCAATTCCACATTTACATATTACCTTTATTATATAAGTAATAAGTCTAACCCACATTAATAAACTCACATCTTACATAATGCTTCCATCTTTTTTAACCCATACATATGATAGCTGAAATATTTTTCTTTAAACTTCTTTTAAAGTTTAATTTGGTCCATAGTCCAAGATGCAAGCAAGGCAAAGGCATGCAATAAGCTTAGCCAGCTTTTTCACAAGATCAATTTTTAACACCTGTTTAGAGTATGACAGATGACAACAGGTATCTTTAAAGCGCTAAGTAAATAGTAAATGTGACTAGGCACACTCAGCTCTAGAGAAGCTGATTAGATTTAGTCACACCACCTTGGAAAGCGAGTTGGCTAGGAACATGGTGTTTCAGCTGATCATCCCATCCCCTTATGCATTCAGGAATCTTCCACAGCTTCTCCCACCACCTTTCTTTTGTGAATAAACAGGAAAAAAGATGTATAAAGCTTTATTATAAGGAATAAAATGGGAAAAAAGAACTAACAATACTTCTTTTAAATACAACTAACATTTTTATCTGTGCTACACCATTATCTAATAATCATGCCCTTTTTATTAACATAATACAAATTTTTCTATGACTACCAATTCTGTTTTCTTGGGGGTAGAGAGGGTCATTACAAGAGGGAGTTGGAAGTATTCTTAATTCAATAAAATGTGCACTGCCACAGAATCTAATTTCATAGAAAGAAAAACTGAAGTTGAAAACCTATAGATGGAGAAGGGAAAGGAGAAAACAAAATAACTAAGCAATGTGCAGCATGAAATTTTAAAAAACCAAGGGGTAAAAACAAGGATAAGGAACAGAAAACAAAAAACTATTGTCAATTGGTATAAACAGTATTTTCAACAAAGTCCAAAATTTCACCTTTGATTATTTAAAAAAAATTTCTTATTGAAACACTTCTTAGAGAGGGATAAAAAAATAAACCTAAAAAGTTTTCCCCTTAACTGCATCTCCAGTATTGCCCCATGAAGTCCAGTTCAAAAAGGAGATAAAAGCTAGAAATGGCTTTAAAGTGTCCAAGTTCCTAAGAAATTAACAGTACGTTTCTTAAATGTCTGTTTAGACCCTTTCGTATTCCTCTTGCTGCAATCTGACTATCTTTTTTTGGTTCTGACCCACAGTCTCAAACTAGAACCTATAGCTTTTAAAACAAGAAAAAAGACTACTTGAATATACAGCATAAATCCTGACTTAAATAATAATAAGTAATAATAATAAAATGTGATGACCATAAATGATTCTAAAATCAATTCTGTTAAGCCTTCATAAATAAATGTACTATGTATGCTATTCTGGCCAAGGCTGAAGTTTACCTCAGACTACTAAAAAAGCCATATGAGTTATTTGAATAAGCGCTTATTTATAGACAAATTAGTGATACATTAACTGAAAGAAACCAAAAAACTGTTCATTAAATGAGATAGGTAAGAATCTCCACTTGACATTTTCAGTTTAAAAAGGAATGACAAAAATGCCAACTTGTCTGATTCTGGATGCCAATTGTAAATATTAAAGAATGAAAAACTCTTTAAAAATTACCTGAAATATCTATCAGCACACACTAGATTTTCCTATCTTTCTGTCAAATTAGAAAATTCTTGGAATCATTAGCAGTTTTCTGAGATGTTGTTCCTGTTAATTCACCGTTAAGTTTTAAGTGTGGGTTAATTACACGTCTATGACTTATGAAATTTTCCAGGAACTATATTTATATAAGGAGCTCTGGTGGTGTAGTACCTAAGGCACTTGACTGCTAACCATAAGGCTGGCGGTTCAAACCCACCAGCCACTACACTGAAGGAAGATGGGGCAATCTACTTCCATAGTGATACTGCCTTGAAAACTCAAGGAGGGGTCGCTATGAGTTGGATCTGACTTCACAGCAGTGAGTTTATTTTTTGTTGGTATATTTATATATGTACTTATCTGAACATTTTTATCACCTGGAAATTACATATACCTAAAATTGAGCCAAATAACTATGGAAGGTAATTAGCTCAGCAACTCACACTTTAACCTTCAAATGATTTTGTCTAAACAATGGGCACTAACTGCATTATAAATGAAACTTATAATAGGTGCGTTTTCATACCACAATCTAAAAGAAAAGATCCAAAGGTTACCAGGTTTGGGATACTGCAATAAAGCCTGTTCCTTGAATCTCATTTGGCACAAGGTAGGCACTCAATAAATGTATGTTGAATGACTAAATACAGAGTGTGTTTTAAAGACTTCAATATTCTTGTCTTTTACTTAATAATAAAAGATGGTATTTATGGTTATAGTAAAGGACTGATAATGTTCTATGGTCTAGGCCCCAGAGTCTAAGAAATCACTAGATAAAACAAATTTTACAAAACAATTTGTCTTTTATCCAAAAATATTCAAAATTTGAGATTTAGGGTTAGATAACAAGCCATTAAATAAAATGTGGTTATAAAAAAGCCCATGTTTCTTATCAGTGCACTCTTTATACAGTGCTTACCAATTTCCGGCTGACAGAATGTGTACTGGCTGCTAGAGGAAGAGCCCATGTTGAAGTCTTCCGGGCTCTGTGCTTCTTTAACAATCGTAGCTTCTTCTTGAGTTCCACTTTCTTCTAACTTAGGTGGCTCAAGGGTAACGATATCAGAATCATCACTGACAGTTCCAAAATAGACATTGTCTTCAGGTAACCTTTCTTCCTCTGCCTGAAGAATTATTATAATTTTAGAAACAATAAATACAACAATTCTTCAAGGGCTTTTTATTTTTTATGCAGCCCAAAATGTTATGATAGCTTGAGGTCAAAGTAGAAGATATAGCACCCACCTAACATAGAATGATTAAGGAGTTCTGGTGGCACAGTGGTTTAAGCATTCCGCTGCTAACCAAAAGGTCAATGGTTCAAACCCACCAGCCGCTCCGTGGGAGAAAGGTAAGGCAGTCTGCTTCCGTAAAGATTTTTATAGCCTTGGAAACCCTACGGAGGCAGTTCTACTCTGCCCTATAGGGTTGCTATGAGTCAGAATAGACTCCATGGCAGTGGGTTTTTTTTTTTTTTAAGGGAAGGATTATGCAGAGTAGGCTCATCTTTTAGCTTGAAAACACCACCAAATCCCTTGGCAAATCTAAGTATGAGACCAGGTTGTATGTTTTGCTACTGAGCTATGGAAGCTGAGCACCCACCATTGTTCCCCACTGAACACAAAAAAGAAAAAGTTCATTTCTCTCATCAGTTTCATGTGTTTATTTAAGCAGAACTCTTCAGTCTGGGAAATTTTTCTGCTTATATGTGTAATAAACTTCAACACCTATACCATGTAAAGGTCATCTGGCTAGCTAGCTAGCCTAATCAAGAGGTCAAGTAAAACTCCAAATGGCAAGATTTAATTATTCTCAAATTTAAAAACTAACTTTCATTTTAGATATGAACCCTAACAGCTTAATTTCCCAACGTAATTCAAGAATGTAACCCACTTCTAAGAAATCACTTTCTAAATAAAACACATCTAACTTAATCTGGAGTCAAAATAGAGGTTAACTTTAACCTTAACGCTGACCAATTTGTGGAATCTCAAAATTTTCAATAGAAGATGTTTATAATGCAAATAGGAATAGAATGCACAAGTAGAAATCAAGGCTTTACTGTATTCTCTGAAGAATGCTGTTTATCATACATCTATAAAGTAAAACAGAAGCTTACCTCAAGTGCTGACCTGGTTTCTTCCATAGCTGCATAAGCAGTTTCTCCCAACAACATTGTACAGTTTTCACTGTTTTCTGATATAGAACAAAGAATAAATCAGTTATTTCTTCATTTAAAACACTGTTGACTTTTTGTAGTCTATATATAATTATATGACTTCTTGTAGTCTATATATAATTATAATATAGGTAGGTAAAAATATATCCCTAATTTGTTAGTAGATTTAATTAAGTATCATACACATTTATGACAGTTACTGTACTATTGCTAAAAAGATCTCCATATTTCAAATATAATTATTTGAAATTGTCAGGGTATAATGTTAAATACTAAACTGAATTCAAGACTAACAATCAAATCAAAGCTATTAATTTAACAGCATTTAAAAGTATTAAAGGAAGTATAATATAAATTTATATACAAAAAGAACATAAACCAAATGATAATAGCAATTATCTCCAGATAAAAGAATCATAGGTGGTTTTGAATTTCTTTTGTTTATTACATATATACATATATCCGCTAATAGAATATTGACTATTGACTTATTTTGGAGCTAAGACTTCTCAGCAAAGGTAGACATGGGTCCAAGGACTCATAATTAAATACGGAAATTTTTTCATGTAAGAATATATAAATTTCTTGGGAGAGACCATCTATAGCTTTCAGATTCTCAAAGGAATCTCTGAGCCACAGTATTTGAGAATCACTGTTTAAATAAGAATAGTAATCAACATGGAGGCTGAAGGAAAAAAAAAATCAGTATACTCTATTCTATTTCTAGCCTCTACACATCCACTTAATCCTCCTGAATGAGAAAATGCTTTGTTTACTTTCATTTTAATTTAATCTTTTATAAAACTTAAGAATTTAAATATGAAGATAAAATATGCACTAATTAATTGGGAACCAATACTTCTCTATGGAATTTATGTGGGTCTCAAATCCCACAGGAAGCCTTTGTAACATTGATATAACACAGTATGTCAAATACCATTTATCACCTCTACTCAGAATACTCTAAAGCATGAGATAACTAAAGAGTTTAGTAAATCTCTCTTGCTAAATTAATAATTTTGTACATTACTAGTCTTAATACTAACAGTAACAAGTAAATATAAATTAAACTGCCAAAATAAATGCATGTTAAACCATATTAATAAATAGTATTTGATCAGTGGTTACACTTATGGCAGTTTCAGAGTATCTGAAAGCCCAAACACATATTATGGTTGCAAATCAACAAACTCCCTGGGCAGGTTGGTGCCACTGGGCACTGCAGGCCTAATCCACATTAAAATTCTAGTCCTTCAGTGAGTGACTTGTGCTGAGGTATCACTTAAATTAGCCAGAAAGGTTGCCCACCTGGAAATAAGATAAAATTCATGTCACCCACAGTACAACTTTGAAAAAAATTCATATTTTTAAAATTTAAATTTTTAATCTTACCTCCCTGCTCTAACTGCAGTACTTGTAGTTCTTCTTGCTCTAAAGATGAACATTCTGGATTAAGTTCCTGGCTGTCACTGGCGACACCATGTTCAGAATTTATCATCTCTATATCAGACCCCTAGAGAAAAAGTGATAATCACCAAGTTATTTGCCTATCAACTACTAGCAAGCTGGACTGGATTATATGTAGATGCTTCCATTATTTAAAGTCTCAGATGCTGCCATATTCCAAACGGACCAGGATGTTCAGTTTAGCCCCGCAAAAAGGCCTATAAGGAAACGGCAGACTTGAATCACAGGTTTCGATTCCAACTCAAGTCAGTCCCAAAAGTTGAATGCTCTGACTATATTCTATTTTATCTGATTAAGCAATAAATTAAACCCATCGGCTAAAAGTGTCTGAATCTAGCAAGCTATTTCTATTAATCTAAGGCCTATGGCATTTAGCTGCTAACCAGAAGGCTGGTGGTTCAAACCCACCAGGCACTCTGTGGAAGGAAGACTGGGCAATCTACTTCCGTAAAGATTTACCACCTTGGAAACCCAACAGGAGTTGCTATGGGATGGAATCAACTCTATGGCAGTGAGTTTGGTTTTTTTTTTTTTTTTTTAATATTTGTGGAACTACCACAAGCAAAGCATTCTTTAAGGATTTTGGAGTATAAAAAATTCAAATTCAAAATTCAAACTTATAGTCTATTCAGACACACAATCTACATACAAATAATTCACCACAGAATATATAGAATAACTATAGAATATATAGAATAACATACAAATACCTCACCATAGAATATATAATTGAAACTGTTTAAGGGTATGGATTAAAATGGAGGCATTGGGCTAATGCAGTGAACTTAAATTTTAAACCATCTTCCTTCTGAGGTTGTCCTTCCAATTTTGATTTCACAGTCTTTATTGGTGCAGTGCCTAAGGCATCTGACTGCTAACCAGAAGTCTGGCAGTTCAAACCCACCAGCCACTCCATGGAAGGAAGATGGGGCAATCTATTTCCATAAAGATTTACCACCTTGGAAACCCAATGGGGGATGCTATGAGTTGAAATAGACTCAACGGCAGTGGGTTTTTTTTTTTTTCTTTAATAGAATAGTGGCAATTAGAGATCTTAAGAGTTTCTCTTTTATTTTTCTTTATCTTAATTATCAAAACAAAGTTAACAACCACTAAGTTGATTCTGCTCCCCATCTTTTCTGTGGTCTAATTAATCCATAAAATCCAAACATGTGAGTTTTCCTGATACATGTAATTAAAACTGCAAAAACTAAAATAATTTATGGAAAAAGTGGCTTTTGAGTTAAGCCCTAAAGAGAACTCTAATTTTGGAAGTAATACTTTGGGGATGCACAGAAGATCAGTTATGTCCTAAACCAGAATAGTGGCAGGAAGAAAGGTAAAGAGCATACATACAAGAAGCATTACCAAGAAAGGGTATGACACGGTAACTAGCTACAGAGGAGGAGGGATACAAGTACAAAGAAGATCATTTACTGTATGACAATGATAACTCAAATACAGAAAGTGCTAATGACATACTTAGTAAGTGTTAGGGGTCTGCTGTTTGGTCCCACCCCAAAGATTCCCAAGTAAGACTCCTAGACTATTAATGATCACTGAAGGAGAAGCTGCTATGCGAGTTGATCTAAGCTTTGTAGAAAACAAGTTAAAAACAGAGAAATCACTTATAATTGGAAAAAAACAAAGAAAAAGTCCCCAGTCTCAATCGGTATAAAACCAAAAAAAAAAAAAAAAAAAAAACTGACTGCCGTGCAGTCGATTGACAGCGACTGCTTCCTTGCATTTTCAAGGCAGTATCTTTACAAAAGTAGACTGCCCAATCTTTCTTTCTTCTGAAGCGTGGCCGGTGGGTTTGAACCAACCGCCTTCTGGTTAGCAGTCAAATGCCCTAGGCACTAGCCACCAGAGCTCCCTTAATTGGTATAGTTGCTGTTAAATTTTAAACTTTTCATACAGAAAAAATAGTGTTTATTTTGTTAATGTAATATTTTATAACACATGACCAATAAACTGTGTAAACCTTAAATTATAAAAGTCATTCTAAAAATAATCATTTAAAAATTTTATTAATGAAGGAAAACAAGTGAGGCTTCAGTAATCCTAAAAACAAACAGGGAACCATAGATAAATCCATAAAAACTTTGAACAGGTATAGTTTTTATTGTTTCTGTTCATAAGTATTGATTGTTCTACACTGAACATACACTACCTGTATAAGAAAACAAACTAATGTTTATTATGCACTAATGGAGTTCCTGAGTGGCTCAAATGGTTATCTGACTATTAGCTAAAGGGTTGATTGTTCAAACCTACTCAGAGATGCCTTGCAAGACAGGCCTGGCCATGTGCTTCCCAAAGGCCACAGCTCTGAAAACATGGAGAAGTTCTACTCTGCACACATGGAGTCACCTTGAGTCTGAATTAACTCAACAATAACTAACAACAAGCCATGCAATATCATTCTTCTATAATAAAATTCATTTCATCATAGGTTCTACCCATAGTCCTTTTCCTGTCAAGTAATGCTGATAACATAATATAACATTAGTGGAGCACATGTTCTCCATGCGCCTTTCTGGTCTGCTCAAAGCAAGGCTTTGCTATTTTAAAGTTATGTAATCTTTGCCAAATTACTTTATCACCTTAAGCTTTAGTTTCTCAACTATAAAATGAGAAAGAAAATACTATCTACTACTAGAGTTGTTTTTAAAATTATGAAAGGTAAAGCAAAGGGCCTGACCCAAAATACTATAAAAACCAAACCTGTTGCCTTGGAGTTTTCCCAGTCACAGTGACCCTATAGGTCAGAGTAAAACTGTCCCATATGTTTTCTAAGGCTGTAAATCTTTTATGGAAGCAGACTGCCATATCTTTCTCCCATGGAGAAAGATTTGAACTGCTGACCTTTCAGTTCACAGTTGAGTGCTTTAGTCACTGTGCCACCAGGGACCTTTTGACCCACAATAAATCCTCAACATAATGTCTGCCTAATGTCTCAAAGCTGAGGAAAGCAATATACAATAATGTAGAAAATTTAGACCCATGGAAAGTTTTCAACAGTTAAGTTTAATATGTGTAGGAAAATGTCCAAGTTCCAGACAATGGAACTTGATGTTGAAATGCAGAAAAATATTAGCCTTCAAAGAACTCTAGGGAGCAATGTTCTATTCTGACACACATGGGGTCACCATGAATCTGAATCACGACAACTGTTTTTTTTCTGTTTCAAAGAACTCATATTTCACATTACCACTTTATACTTTAATATTACAATTACCTTATAAGTATTAAACAGCATACCTCATGATTGATGACAGTCCAACCACAAGATGAATCACTGTCACTGGAATTTTCAGACATTTTTCAGGTATCTACAAATACAAAAACATATTGACTTGTATGGAACATTAAAAATTCTATCAACAGAGTAAATGCTGTATGTGGCAAAGTATGAAAAATGGCTGACTGCCTTTCAGATGAAACAGAGACAACCCGCCCTTGATTTACCATACAGGACAAATACAATCAAACTTCTAACACAGAGATACCTTTCTGAGCTAACACAGTCTGGGCAGTCATAACACTAGAATGAAAAAGAAAAGGGTCTGAAAGAAAATGTTGAATTTGACCATGGAGAAAGAGCTCAGAGGAAAAGAGAACTGAAATTATATCAGCAAGTATAAGGTTGGAGGCGCAGTGAATGAGAGACAAGGAACAGAGAAGACCTATATTTTCAATTAACAGTAAGGTATGAAGAGCCCAGCCGAAGAAACCAAGTATGGGGAAAAAGAAGGGTTCCCATGTCAAGCAAAGGGAAGTCTACCTGTAACATGAAGCAAATGAACTTTTTCAAGCGTGGAAGAAACATGATCAAAACAATTTTTATGAAAACAAACATGTCAGCAATATCTCAGTTGACTAAAGCAAAGATCAGTGATTGGGTAGAAACTTGTAGCCATTAGCAATAACCTGGAATCAAGTCCTAAACCAGCATACACTGATTGGTCCCTCTGCCTATTTTGTTTTCCTTTCTCTATCTCAAATTCTTAATTTAAATAAATAAATAAATAGGTTATTAAAGTGAATGGTATCATCATAATGACTTTGTTCCACATATCTGAATCTTATAAAAATTTCTATTATTGCACATATACTGTGAACACATTAGACCCAAGTTGATGGTTGGTATCCTAATAGAACTCTACTGAACAAAATTTGAGGAGCTCTGGTAGCACAGTGCCTAAGGCATTTGATTGCTAACCAGAAGGCTGATGGTTCAAATCCACCAGCCACTCCTTGGAAGGAAGGTTGAGCAATCTACTTCCATAGTGATACTGCCTCGGAAACCCAAGGAGGGGTCACTATGAGTCAGATCCAACTCAACAGCAGTGAGTTTGGTTTTTAGTTTGCACGCAATTTAATACAGAACAAGTGGTCAAATAAGGAGGATGGGGGGGTCGGAAACCCTGAAATACCCATTAATGATTTTTGAAATGCAAAAACTACATTACAGAAAAGAATATTAACAGCAATTGATATTTCAAAAACAGAAATAAAAATGGTTTGTCGCTACTTTACCAGTTTAAAAATTAGCCTGTTTTCTGATAAATTATTCAAAGCTTGAAATAAGACAAAGATGACTGTATGACTCTTAATGTCATGCTAGAGCAATTTCTAATAAGTTTGTCTGAGGTCACCTGATTGTTTCACTTAGTATTTATTTTTAATCAGGTTCCAGGTAGCTTGTACATAAGGCTAAATTTAAAGTTAAAACTTGTTGAAAACTGTTAGGTGAAATATTGTTTTTTACTGTATAGTACACTATTCCACAGATTAGAATACCCTGTAGGATATTAACCAATTTCAATTAGCAATTTCAACATTCCCTATTAAATTGGGATAGTAAAAATCCCAACTTCTCACTGAACCAGTTTTTTAATGCAATCCATTCTCTCACAAGTTAACAATAACAACAACAAAAACTTTTGATATAGGCTATTTGTATGAGAATTATGGGTTTTGGTTTAATTTTTTAAAAAAGCATTTAAGAATCAATATACTGACACATGGGAACACAAAAAGACTGAGCAATTAAATCTGCAGAAAGAAAGGGGACTAGTCAAAGGCTTTGTAATGAGGTTGCAAATAAGACTGTTATTGTCGTTATGTGCTATTGAGTTGTCTCCGACTCATGGTGACCTTATATACAATGGAATGAAACACTGCCTGGTGCTGTGCCAGTCTCACGATCCCTACTATACCTGAGCCTACTGCAGAGCAACCACTGTTTCAATCCATCTTGTTGAGGGCCTTCCCCTCTTTTGTCGACCCTCCACTTTACCAACCATGACATCCTTCTCCAGAGAAAGGTCCCTTTTGACAACATGAACAAAGTAGGTGAGATGAAGTCTGGCCATCCTCACTTCCAAGAAGCATTATGGTTGCACTTCTTCCATAGCAGATTTGTTAGCTCTTTTAGCAGTCCACGGTATTTTCATCATTCTTCGCCAATACCACAACTCAAAAGCATCAACTCTTCTTTGAACTTCCTTATTCATTGTCCAGCTCTCACATGCATATGAGGCGACTGAAAATACCATAGCTTGGGTTAGGGGCACCTTAGTCTTCAAGGAGACATCTTCGCCCTTCAGCACTTGAAAGAGGTCCTTTGCAACAGACTGGCCCAATACATCTTTTGTTGTCCTGACTGCTGCTTTCAGTAGTACTGATTGTAGAACCAAGTAATATGAAGTCTTCTCCATTCATTGTGATGTTGCTCATTGGTCCAGTTGTGAGGATTTTGGTTTTCTTTATATTGAGGTGTAATGACTGTGGTCTTTAATCTTCATCAGTAAGTGCTCCAAGTCACACTCACTTTCAGCAAGCAAAGTTGTGTTGTCTGCGTATCTCACTCAGGTTGTTAATGAGCCTCCCGCCAGTCCTGTTGTCACATTCTTCATATAGTCCAGCTTCTCAGATTATTTGCTCAGCATACAAATTGAGTAAGTATGGTGAAAGGATACAACCCTGATGCACTCCCTTCCTGATTTTAAACTATGCAGTATTCCCTTGTTCTGTTCAAATGACAGCCTCCTGCTCTATGTATAGGTTCCTCATGAGCACAATTAACTGTTCGGGAATTCCCATCCTTCTCAATGTCATCCATAATATGTTATGATCCACACAATCGAATGCCTTTGCATAGTGAACAAAATACAAGTAAACATCTTTCTGGTATTCTCTGCTTTGAGCCAAGATCCATCTGACATCAACTATGATATCCTTCATTCCATGTCCCCTTCTGAATCCAGCTTGCATTTCTGGAAGTTCTTTGTCAATATACTGCTGTCACTGTTTCTGAATTATCTTCAGTAAGATTTTACTTGCATGTGATTATCAATGATACAAAAAATAAAAATAAAAATAAAAAAACCTCACTGCCCTTGAGTCAGATTTGACTCACAGCAACTCCTCCTTGGGTTTCTGAGGGACTATCACTACAGAAACAGATTGCCCAATCTTCCTTCCAAAGAGTGGCTGGTGGGTTTGAACCGCCAGCCTTCTGGTTAGAGGCAAATGCCTTAGGCACTATGCCACCAGAGCTCCTGATATCAATGATACTGTTTGATAATTTCCACATTCTGGGGCATCACTTTTCCTTGGGATGGGTACAAATATGGATCTCTTCCAGTCAGCTAGCCAGGTAGATGTCTTCCAAATCTCTTGGCATAGTCACGTGTGTGCCTCCAGTGTGGCATCCGTTGTTGAAACATCTCAGTGGGTATTCTGTCAATTCCTGGAGCCTTGTTTTTCACCAATTACTTCAGTGCAGCTTTGACTTCTTCCTTCAATACCATTGGTTCTTGATTATATGCCACCTCCTGAAATGGATGATCATCTACCAATTCTTTTTGGTATTGTTGTCGTGACTGTGTATTCCATCCATCATCTTTTGATGTTTCCTGCATCATTCAACATATTGCCCATGGAATCTCTCAATACTGCAATTCGAGGCTTAAATTTTTTCCTGTTCTTTCAGCTTGAGAAATGTCGAGTGTGTTCTTCCCTTTTGGTCTTCTAACTCCAGGTCTTTGTACATTTTAGTAATTGACTTTTGTCTGCCCAAGCTGCTCTTCGAAATCTTTGGTTCAGCTCTTTTATCCTATTGATTCTTCTTTAGCTTTAGCTACCCTCCATTCAAGAGCAAATTTCAGAGTCTCTTCTGACATCCATTTTGGTCTTTTCTTCCTTTCCTGTCTTTTCAATGACCTTTTGTTTTCATCATGGATGATGTTCTTGATGTCATGTCACACAGCTCCTCTGGTTTTCAGTCATGGTGTCCAATGCATCAAATCTATTGTTTAGATGGTCTCTAAATTCAAGAGGGATATAATCAAGGTCGTATTTTGGCTCTTGCAGACTTCTTTTAATTGTCTTCAGCTTCAACTTGAACTTCCATATGAACAGTTGATGGTCTGTTCCACAGTCAACTCTTGGCCTTGATTTGGCTGAAGATATGGAGCTTCTCTATCGCCTCCTGCCACAGATGTAGTCAATCTGATTCCTGTGTACTCTGGTGAAGGTCACATGTATAGCTGCCTTTTGTGTTGTTGAAAAAAGATATCTGCAATGAGTAAGTCGTTGGTCTTGCAAAATTCTACCACGTGACCCCCAGCATTATTTCTATCACCAAGCCCATATTTTCCAACTACCAGCCATTCTTCTTTGTTTCCAACTTTTGCATTCCAATCACCAGTGATTATTAGCACATCTTGACTGCATGTTCCATCAATTTCAGACTGCAAAGACTGATAAAAATCTTCAATCTCCTCATCTTTGGCTTTGGTGGTTGGTGCATAAATTTGAAGAGTGGTAGTATTACCTGGTCTTCCTCATGTTGTTGTTGTTGTTATGTACCGTCGAGTCGGACCCGACTCATAGTGACCCCTCCTTGGGTTTCCGAGGCAGTATCACTACGGAAGTAGATTGCCCAGCTTTCCTTCAGAGGAGTGGCTGGTGGGTTTGAACCGCTAACCTTCTGGTTAGCAGCCTTCTGGTTAGTGCCTTAGTAGTAACCAGAAGTAGTTTCCAGTAGTAACTGGTAGTGCTACATCTGTGATTAGCAGTAATCAAAAACTGACTAAAGAATTCTCTTAATCTGGCAGTTCTCAAACAGTTAGAGGTACTGTGATCAAACCAAAAAAGGGGCCCAAGTAGACACACTAACTCTGAAAAATACTATCATCTTTCAATCTTCCTACCATTGTCAGTGATTGTTCTAAAATGATGATAATCTTATTAAGCCAGTCCTTTACATTTTAGTAAACTTTCTTGTACTGTTTTTAGGATAATGTTCAAAT